ACATGAAGTTTATCTTATACTAGTAAACAACAACTAGAAAAAGGCTACTACTTAGCATCATGGAATATTTCCTTTGAGGCTTCAAAAACAAGTATTTTAAAAAAATCACCAGTGCACAACAGATTATATCCTCATTATACAATCTACATCATATTCCTGTTTTGTAGTGAAATGAGCTGAATTTTGTGATTTTTTGTAAACTGTATTTCTGTAAGGGCGTGATAGAAAATCCAATCAAATATCTCCACCAAAACTGCTGACAGAAGCCTTCAATATCATCTTCTTCTCAGTGACAAACTTACAGTAACTAGTCAATACTTTTCTAGCAATGCTTAGTTTATGATTCAGAGCCATATATCATTCAAGAAAGAATACACCGGTTTGGAAATACATCAGATATTGCTGCAAGTTCCTTTGCAATTCAAATCTTGTAATATAATGACTCTGCTCACCAATTCAGAAATACATAAAGTTCTCACCACAAAGGTAAATTTCCAACCAGTTTCAGTTACAACCAAGGAACCATTTTCATTAAGTAACTTGGAAGGTAGGAAATGAGACTTCATGCAGAATGCCAAATACATCTATATAATTTGATCACACTCAGGCACTGGCTACCAGGAAAACTGCTACTCAGTATGAAATATTAAGCTCAAACCTTAACAAAAGTATAGGAAGCATTTTCTTAATGTTGAAAAGAGATCGCCGTACCGTATAAGAAAATCAAGAGATTCTCTCACATGGAACATCCTGAGTTTCCAAAACAGTGGATATATATATTATCAACTTTTAAATGGTGTCAGTAGTAGGTATTGAAAATTATGCGGGGGATAGGATGCTGTGAATTAGATAAGCTTCTGGAAGACCAGAAGACACTTCAGAGATTTTTAAAACAAAATCAAATGAACAGTTAACATAGTAAAAGAAGAAAATTACTGTTGACCAAATGCAAGAAAATAAACAGTGGGAGGTAATAAAAGCATTCACATGCATTTTTGAATGGTAAATTAACTAAAAATGGCTGATGTTGCATGCACTGACATTTCACACAGTGAATATGTATTTGAAGAAAAAATGGGAAGACTAGAAAAGCAATTGTGACTTCATCATTGATTCGTAGCAACATTTTTGTAAAACAATGGCAACAGCAAAAATAGTTTTTTGTATGCTTATGGGCATGGAAAAATAGTAATTTTGTATATATCCAAATGCTTTCCTTTCAAATGGAATACAATTTTCATCCCATCTATATTATGCTCAAAAAGATGCAGCAGAATCAAGCACCAAAAGACTAGGAATTTTGGAGCTCCGCATATGGAAAAAGAAAGATGACTGATACTACTGAGTAGAAAACCAATAAATGAAACAAGTAAAATACAGAAAGATGTGAATTATAGAACTTGTTTCCATTTTCCTCAAGGATAAACCTGAGAGTTACTTTGGCACCAACTTGTTTGCTATTATTTTTTCATGTCTTATCATTACCTTCTATATGCTCCCACTAAAGGATATAATAGTAGGAAAAAGTTAAACAGAGCCTGGAAAGGACCAAACAACAGTAAACATCTGAAAGAGTAGTAGTAACTTCCAAACAGTTTACAATGGCTAAACCGCAACACTAAAATAAAGGGACTGAAAGGAACAAAGTACAAACAATGAGGAGATTGAGTAGTATAAAAGGCATTCGTCATGGCCTGGTGAAGCTCTGAACTATTCCATAAGCTATGTTACAAAGCAAAAGAAAACTGTACTGACTTAGCTAACACTATTTATTGAGTTCGTATCACAGTAGGTAACCATGGAGTGCTTAACTGCTTCTCATTCCTCTTCCCATTTTGAAATTAACGGAATCAAAGATCGAGGTAACACACAGATATCAGGACAGCACAGAGATTACCAAAGCAAGAAAGAAGTCAGTCTTGGGCCAAATCTCTGTCAGTGATTAGATTTTTTTATAGTTCTGAAAAATCTTCTGGAACATAAACTGTAAGATATAGCAAAACCCACTGGAAACTGTCAGAAGGTCTCTTTCTGTGCAAAAGGCTGTCCAGACAAAGAATGGAAGACACTAGAGCTCTTCACACAGACTATTGGGATTATCCTGGGGGGTCTCGGGGAGCTCATGCTTTCTGACAACGAGACTCTGATGTCTGGGAAAGATGCTAGTAAGGAGGTGATTCACAACAACTAAAAAAATGGTCAGAAGCAAGGACAACTGATGTGCTAGCAGAGATCACCGGCACATTAAATTTATGAGAAATTCAGCAATTTTTCTGACAATCCTTTCTCCCCCAGTGCACCTACCCTTGGCGAGGGTAAGGAGGCATGGGAATGAGGGCTATCTCAAATCACATTACCCTGTTGCCTAAAGCCACTGAGGTTCCATCCACCACTTCCTTTTTTTAACTCTTCAGACCAGTAAAGATTCTGATGATCAACAACAACTGACCAATATATGACCTGGTGAGACTACTGTACAAAGGGAGTCTCAAAATATCTAACTCTATCTCCTCTTTCTGCCCAGGTAGAAACATAACCCAACATTATGACATGACCATATACTTAAAGAAATAAAAAAATTTTAGCTGTCCAAAATACTGCTTTTACCTGGGGAGACACTAAATGCAAAAGACAGCAGAAGCCTACATAATATAGTAACGTCCATTAATATAAGCTGTAGCAGTTAGCACTGAGTGGAACCTAAATGCCACAGAACAGTTAAGGGTTTGGGCACAGATATCATATCTGTTTTCTTTTCAGTCACTGATGAATTCAAATTATAAAAAAAATTACCTTAGTATATACACAGAAACATGCCAGCTCATTTTTTTCCCTAGGTGTTTGCTGTGCTTTTAGATAAAAAGTAAAGAAAATTTATGAAATTGACCAAAAGTGATGCAATAAATATCTTAATTACTGTGATTCACCTGCTAAAACTTCCTATTAAACCTATAGGAAAACAGATCAACAGAGGTACTAAATTTTCACAGGCTTTCATGTTAAGTCTTATATTAGAAAAAAGTTATTCATTCTTCTTTATTTATATATTCTTAGTTATGGCCATTTATCAATTACAGATCTCTTATCTTACTTCAGATGGCATTGGATTTTCTGTTCTGATCCATTTTACATGCACAAAAGCCTGACTATAAGAAGCTGATGTAAAGCCACCAGCACTTCAGGAAAATACATGGCATTTATGTTGCTACAGTATGTTCCACAATATAGAAACATACAGGAGAAATGAATACAAAAATGTTCAATGTTTTTCAATCAGCACATACAGTACTGTTTAAAAAACTGTATATGTTTGCACTTTTCTCCAACAGATTTATATACAGAATTATACTGCAATGTCATATTGCAGTTTATTACAACTATGGCTCCAAAACAAAGACAAGACCCAAAAGCAAAACAAACAGAAAAACCCAAACACATTGTAAGTTTTGTTTACCAATTCTGAGTAGGAAGAACTGTCATCACCCATAAAAACAAACCATCACAAACTAGGGATATTAGATGTATATATGTTTAAAAACTGCAGCAGACATTCTCGCATCTCCACACCTGCAAAAATTCAACTACTTTCATGCAAACAAGCATGAAACACTCTTCTTTAAATGATAACTATAAACTCTTTATTCAATATCCCAGATGGATCATCACTGTTGTAGCTTCTGTGAATCGCAGATGAAGACTCGATACCACAGACATCTCAGTGACAGTATGAACAAATACTCTTTACAACATCTCATATTAAAGACTTCCAATAGCTCCCTGAAGTAAAGGTCATATATTCATTTTACTTCTAGTCACAATCAGATCAACAAAAGAAAATTTGTCTATATTAACATTCATGACTCCTTCTGACACAAAACTTGCTTTTGTTTATGAATGCATATATAAAAGCATCCCCTCTCCAACAGATTTGGACAGCATTTAGAGTTCAATACTGTCCAAATATGTGTATAATAAAACTATTTTAGCAGTTACTACTTTAAAATATGACTTAATTTACACCATGTGCATAAAGTCTTTGGAATTCATTTAGCATAACTTTCACCATCTATATATAATTATATAATTAATCAATCCATCAAATAAAATACTTTATAAAAAGACTCTAGCAGTTGATGAGTCAACTATCCCAATAAAAGTCTAGTTATCAACTGAATATTTTTTTTAACATCTAAGATAAATATAAACCATTTTTAACTAAGCCAGAACAGAGGTCAGCAAAGCATTTGGAGGAAATATGGAAAGCTCTAAATACTAGTTTTGAGTCAGACTGGAATTTCTTAAGACTCTGTGTCCTAGCTCCAGCAAGGGCCAAGAGCTGAAGATGCCTATGAAAAACATTCAATTCAAAGCAATATTCAGCAGTCTGCAACTTAAAGACTTCTTCATTTTTTAATGAGTTTTTAATGAGTTTTTCTTTATGTTACCATTCTTCTTTTGATTTTTTTGCAATTTAGATGTTTTTGAACATTCTAAACATTTCTAATGTGCAAAGTATAACATTTTTTTCAACTAATTAATAGACAGATTAGCAGACATCTGAAAATCCAAATAATCAATTTATCCAAACCACCAATTCATAACCCAAAGAAGTCTTCATAAAATGCAAGCCAATCCATCAAACTAGGGCTATTCTGAACTATGACAGTAGAAAGAAGTGAGTGGCAGAAGAAACGAGTCATAGATAATTCTTCGTAAGCATGACCCACCTCCTTCCAACACACTTCCAAGTAACTACAGTGAATATAAGCCACGGGTCTCTTACCTTCATCCTGTGCACATATATGCAAAACTATATTTAGAAACATAATATAGATTGTAAACTGTCTGCTCAATAAAATACAGAAAAGGTTTTTTTATAGTCTCAATAGTGAATATACTGTATGTATTATTTACATAAAAAATAGCTTCTCCAAGCTTTTGATATTTCATTATTAATTAGCTTCCAGTCATTTAAAAACTGTTATTATTGCTGGACTTACCCATAATGGTTAAAGCTGTGGCTTTTGTTAAGTCTTCTTTCATTGATTCTATTATTTCAAGATTACCACCGTCCAAGTTGCATCTATTTATGGTTCCATTTCCTGAACTGATCCAGTAAAGTTTGTTCTCCCCATAATCTATTGATAAACCTGTAATTAATGTATAAAACTTTAACTATGGCTTGAATAGATAATATACATTTGGTGTTACGCTGTTTTCATAATAGAAACATATTTAAGAAATATATATACATACACAATGTTATCTATCCACTCATCCACTCAAACTGTAGAAAAATAATCAGTGAAACCAACAAACTTGGCCATTTATAGTGGAAAAAAACCACAGGCTTTTAAACAGATTTCTACCTTTTATTTCTCCCAACATCTACAGAAATCAATCAGTGACTGACTGATGAAAGAGCATTATCTGGCAATGAACAATTACTTGACTGAACTGAGGTCCTAAGCAAGGTCATTAACTACTAGTAAATGTGAACCAGAAGCCATCATTTATATTCTAAAATTATGAATACATAAAGACTTAGAAAACAAGCTACTTTTTGTGATTCAGAACTATAAAAAGTCTGTTCTCTCCCTGCATGCACATCCCTCTTCTTAGAATGCTGAAATACCAAAACCTAGTAACAATTCTTGATAAATTTTGCAGTATTAAGTTTAATTTTGCTTCATAGTGAACTGACCTCATGATCAGTTCTTTGGAGTTAGAAGCAAGAGAACTGTATTTCAGACTTCTATAATCCTTTAAAAATGTTCAAGTAATTGTAGCCGGAGATTTTCCACAGTGAAAAACGCTTGGCATGGTGACAATACGTGCCATAATAATTTGCTTTTCCCAGAACTCATGTTAAGTATCCAGCAGTAAGTTGCCAAAAAATACTGTATTTCACTCCATAGGTCAACCTCTAGATACTGTACAGTACTCTTCTGCCATCCTGTAAACTGCTTCTCTGTTGAAAGCCAGATCTATTTTCAAAACGCTGATGGGAGAAAGCAGTGCCATGTGCTGCAGTCCTTACAGCTGGCATCATGCCACAACTTCTTTACGCACATTTGACATAGGAGGCCAAAAGATGCCTGCTTTCTAAGCTTTTGAAAAACAGCTTTCCAGTTCCTTTACAGTTACTGATATTTTTTCCCCTCTCTGCAAGTGTATCACCCAGAAGAAACCAACACACGCTCAAGAGAGGATAAGGATACCAAGTAGTGCCTTCAGGAGAGATTGATCTTGCAGCATCTCTCTGCACATACATGTCTTCTGCTCAAAGTGAAAAGACCACAGACCTTGGAGACAAGCAGTGCTTGCACTGGCAGGCCTAGCACAGGAAACTTTCCTGGGGATATGGATGAACCTTGCTACGGGTTACAAAGGTAATATGCAAGTGTAAAGGTTGCCTTACTCTGAGATGGATAGCATTTGCTGTTCTCTGCAACTCCTGACTGCTACCAGTCAGCTGCTCTCTGATTTCATCAAGACAGATCTATTTATGGGGTTGCTGTGAATTGCAATCTACACAGCAATTACAATGTCATGTTTTCTACTTCTTAAGATACTAAACTGGTGTTCCTACACACGGGTATTCCAATTACACAGCAGCAACTGGCAGAAATAGCATTCCTATCTCCTTCTACCCAAGTCTACCACATTTTTCTTCCCAAAGTATTTTGCTGTTGTGTTATTCCCCCTATTACCAACCTTTGTGAAAACATACTATTTATAATGTAGGCAGAGCACATTTATTTAGAATTTTTCAGGAAATGTCATGTTTTTACTGATGAAAATAGGTGACTTACTAGCCATAAGCATCACAGATACTAATGATGCATTCTAGCGTGGGTGACTGGCTTACACCTTATATCCCAGCAGCAAAGTCAAACTAACATGTGGACTGTAAAATACAGGTCTCAGAATTCTGTTGTGTTTAAAAAAAAAAAAAAAAAATTACCATGACTTAGACCATCAGTGTTTTCACATGCATTTTCCAATTTCCTTACTCCATTTTCCTTATGCAAATTTCCAGAAATATGCTACTATTTAAAACGTACAGTTTATTCCAGCAATTAATGAACAGAGGTTCCAACCTTAAAGCCATCTATGTAATGAGATCTTAGTTTCCACTACCAGAAAATCAAGTTTGATATTTTCATTTGGTGCATCCCTGAAGTTCAAGGAAATTACTCTTGATAGCATTTTTTGTATACTTACTGTTTAAATGATGTGTGTTCCAAGAACATTAAAGATGGGATTAATTCTTACTACCTAAATCAATTAAATGTTGGACACTGCTACTACAGCTTAGATTTATTACAGGAAAAGTATTTGGAATTTTTGTTCACACTTCCCACCCTAGTGACTTAATTAAGGTTTTTTTAACTCTTTATGGCTGATTACATTTCAGGAGACAAAACAGTGCTTGAAACTAGGAAATCCTTAGGTTTATTTCTCTGCTAAACACACATCCATACTTAAGAAATAACTTTTTAAACAAACAAATTTAAGATGAAAATTTCAAGAACCAGTCTCAAGAAGATTTTTGGTTCACATCTGCAACAATTTTGCTTGTAGACTATGCTATATATTCAAAAGAAAGAACAAATTAGCAAGGGATATTCAAGTAGAGAGTCAGCCAAGAAAATGAAGCAAGAACAGCTAAAATAGCAAATAGGGCTGTACCATAATCCTGAGCAAAATGGAAACTCTCAGTTTGTTCAGAAGAAAGGATTGAACTGTATTAAAAAAAAAAAAAAATACACCACCACCCCTCAAACTAAACCCAAACAATACCCCTGCCACCACCCTATAATTATGGAGTTCTTTGAATATAGCTGAGAGTGATCCAGTATGTTTTTAAAGGTTATTTCTCCAAGCTATTTCAAAACTTACTAAGAATCCAATACTCTACAATTTAATAATAGCCATTTTCTTAAAACCAATCCAATGTATGCATGATGCTTCACTGAAAATAAGTTCAAAACACCAATGATGAAATGATCTGCCTCATGAAGTATAAAATTAAGCACGAATTCTGAATCCCTAAGAATGCACTTTAACGGAACTACAGCGACTAGAGTTCCTTTTCTGAATGATCTATGTGTGTCGCTATTTGAGCCTTTTAGAACTGCAGAACGGACTAATAAGTCATACCTAGCATGTACTAGCTAAGATAAGAGATACAATCTGTCATCCTAAGATTATCAGTTTCTAAAATCTCCAATCTACAAACTTCTGGAATTTATACAAAATATTTTAAATTAAATAATCTCCTCCTTTTGATAGAACTCAAACTGAGAAAAAAAAATTCATCAGCATACTTCAGATCACAGATTGGAAAACTTTCCTTCATTCTTCAAATTCTGAAGTTATGTCTCAAGAAAATTAAAAACCCCTTCAATTATCAGGATACCCAACTCAAGTAAGCCATATATTTGTCCTTTTCAGTAATCCACCAGTGAACTCGCTTATTAGACCATTCACGTCGCTCCCCAAATACTCAAAATTAGCACCGTATGAACTAGACTTTCACTTACAGAGAAAAACAGATTCTCAGTTAGAAATGAAATATTAAATTAAGGTTTTAAGACAGCTACTCTCTGGCTCTTCAGCAGTGTTTTCTTGTTCTTTGCATGGGAATGTCTTATGCTAATGGTAAGAATAACTTAAACCATTAGAATAGGCATTTTGCATATATTTGAATTTAGAGTTTGGTATTGAAAACTTAATACTTCTTTTATCTATAGTGTAGCTGATCATTTTTACTCAACCATGCAACAGAATCCATTTTCACAACCATCCTAACTGACAATAAAATGGAGCCAAGATGTCTACCAATTAAAAGGTTTTTCTGCAATAGACAGGTGTCTCCCTTTACATACATACAAATATCTCTCTGCACTCTTTACAAACTACATATCCTACATCTTACATACTACATATCCTACACTTTACATACTTTACAATTTAGCACGGTTTAAGACTGCCAAGAAGGAGGGAAAAACAATTAGATCTCTATGGTCTCCTTATTATGCAACAGGTCTCATTTTTACGCAATAAGAACCTTCAATCTGGAATATAACCTATTTCGAGTAATTCTGATCAGATCTCAAAGGGGTTAAAAATGAATCCAGTACTACAGAAAGAAAACTAAATTGTCTCACTTGCACCTCTGTGGTGAAGTAAAAAACTTATGTCGCAATCATCTCTTACAAGGCTTATAATAATGTTTAACTGCATGAAGAGTCCACATGATACCAGTGAAACTGTACGTGTGCATGAAGAAAAACATCACAAAACCCACATGGATTTGCACATGCAGCCTTTGACAGTACTGATATACTTACAGCAAAGAAAAGGAGGGGAAAAAAAAAAAAAAGAGTACTTACCATTTTACCATGTATTTGGTTCAGTGGCTTTACTGCTACTCAGAACAAACTCAATGACAGAAACCGTAAGGACTGCAATTTAGGACCTTGTGACCTATGATCACAGGATATTCAGTGCAAAATGTTGCACACAGCCTTACTTCTCAATATTGTCGCAATATTATTAAATGTGTTTATGCTTCACCTTAAAATTAGTGGGTTTACCACTTTTTTCCTCCAGATATAGATAACTGTCTCTTCAAGTGGACAGATAGAAAATCAAATCAGCAATTAAAACAGTTACCAAATAATTTCTACACAATTATTTGAATTTAGGCTCTAAAATGTATGTTGTCTTGCTCTAATGTCAAATTTACTGCATTATTTAACTAAGTCATTTTTACTTCTGCTTGCTTAATGCATTCAGTTATGAAAACCCATAAATGCTTTAAAATGTAATCACCGTATTGATGGACCACGAATAAGACAACAACTGACATAATCAATTTAACTCTCTAAAAAATTAAATGACAGAAAGAAAGAGACCTGAACCAAAAATAAATAGAAAGAGCTTTTTTTTTTTCCCCAGAAAGTGCCATAATTTATCATCAATGATATTAATTCTCAAATACTAAAACTAAGGTTAGGTCATTATATAGAATGTATGCTTCAGTTATTGCTCTTTTCTATATGTGAAAAATTAAGAGCCAAATTGTCTTTTTATCATGCAGCTGGGATTCTGGGGAGGAAGGTTCTACATTTCAAGTCAAAGTACCCTATCGCATATATCAATAACTTATTAAAACCCTGCTCTCTACAATTTTTTACCCATGATCTAAAGATTGAGAGATACAGATGGGTCCTCCTTCACCTTGTGTTGACACGACGACTGTAATACTAGAAGTTATCAAACTATACTGAACTCACTACAGTAGAATTCAATTAGAAGGGACCAAAAATATCTTAAATTATGAAACACAAAAATACATCAGTGTTTTTCATATCTTTATGCCTGTTCTTATCATTCATACAGTATATGAAAAACTTCATGGTAGACTTAAATAGCATTTCAAGATAACGTCCATAATAAAGCACTATCAAATAAAAAAAGATACAAGAAAAAAGGTATTTACCAACAGGATCTTTTTGATTCTGAAAGAGTATTTTGCTGTTGCTGCCATCCATGTTTGCCATGTTAATTGTGTTGCCGTCCGTCCAGTAGAGCTTACTGAAGAAGAAAATGAACATATTTATAATGTTCTGTTGCGTACACAGTATTTTTAAAGCATCAGTAGTGAAAATATTTGTAAATTTAGAAGCAGGCAAAACATACAGGTAAAGCTTCCATGATTTAATCAACAGTAAGCTTTGGTAGGGAAGCAGTACTCAGTTAAGAAATTCTCAGCAAACTCTTTCAAACCCATGCATTTGCTTTAAGTTTGAAAGAAGACAGAATGAGCAAACTCCAAATCTGAACAAAGAAGAAAGTTGATGAGTTTTAGAGTAGTTTATTTATTAAAACTACATATTTCTTACCCTTTTACTGGGTGAACTGCAAGACACTGGGGTTTATCGATTCCATGGATGATTGAGGTTTTCAAGGAACCGTCTAAATGAGCCACATTAATTTGTGTTTCATCAAATTCTGAGCTAATCCAATATAAATTACGTGATATCCAATCCACTGCAAGACCTCTGATACTCTGAATATCTGCAAAAAGTGAAAGCAGTTGTTCTTTGATTTTCTTTCTGGATTATTCTCAGTCTTGAAAAAAAAAACAAACCCACAATTTCTTCTCGAGTTTGTTAACAATAATGTGCAATATTCTATTCACATGTATTTATAAACTAGTTGCCAAGAATTAATAATCATTATTTTTCTTCTTGGGCCTGACACACTTGCAATAAAACAATAAAAACATGGAAATTGCACTGAAAATTTGAGAAATCCTCCAAAAATACTTCTTTAAAAATTAGCATAAAACCTACTGTTCATGGCTACACATCTGTCAGCTGATGAGTAGTAGTGAATGAATTCTTTCTTTTGCTTTACTTGTGCATGCAGCTTTTGCTTTTGCTATTAAACTGTCTTTATCTCAACTTGTGAGTTTTCTCACTTTTACCCTTCTGATTCTCTCCCCCATCCCACTGTGGGGAGTGAGTGAGCTGCTGTGTGGGACAGCTGCTTTCTGGGCTTAACCCACACCACCAGTATTACCTGAGGTAGCAAAACCTAACTAAGATATGATTGATTTGGTAACTTTGCAAGTGTCTTTTTATGTGATAGTCTCCCTCAGCAAGATGTTGATTAAAAGAAAAATGTTAATATATGTTAATATCTGCCTTAAATGCTGCTTAAGATCTAGATACTAACATGCTGCTCTGCCTTGGCATAGCAATGGTTCATATTGGCCAGCATCTTTGTAGACGAGGAAACAGGCCAAAGGTGATTTAATGATTTCATTACAGTTCATAGCTTGTACACTATCTCTTTGTCAACTTAATGTGGTTACTTCCACGGACAGAATTACTGTCATTGACAAACTAACATGGATGTGGCTGTGGCTTATATACATAAGGTCAAATGGTGATTGGGCATTAGGAAGTTTGCCAACTTCAGAGAATTCAACAAAGGACACCAATACACAGCTTTGACCCATTTTAAACTGATCCCTTGACTTCTGGGTTTGGTTTTTTTTTTTTTGGTTGGAGGAACTAGAAAAACAAGCATTTCATACTCTTAAAAAGATTAAAGTATGACTTTGGCATCTTTGTGACATTGGCATAAGACTTCATCCAATGAGAATCCCACTAGTATGTGCTTACAAAGCTTCTTATGTTCTTAGAAGTAGAAAAATATAAATCTAAGCAAATGAGATCATTTAAACATAAGTAGTCTTTGTATAATTTTGATGTACCAGAACACTGTAATTTTGCAAATTTTATAAATAAGAAGTTACATCTGGCACAAAAAAGAAACCCCAAAAACTCCATCACAGAAGCTACCATAATACAAAGAATACGAAAGAATGCTGATAAACAGAATCACTCACACATAGTATGTTTGTTAAAGTTTCATTAAGTTTCTTGAAAAGTTTTGTGATTTTTCATTATATATTTTATGTCATAAGCAGTGTTTTTATTCTACTACCATTTATAAAAAAACAACTCTTTCTCTTTTGGGCACCTCAATTCATGATGTAAAGAAGAGCTCTAAGAGGTAACCTAAACCTCGTTCTCATTACTAGTTCTGAAAAATTTCTCCAATTGTTAATAAACTTGTCTCTGATAATAACAGGAAAAATAAAGATACCCACACAAAATAAGTAAATTCATCAGTCTACATAGTCAAGTGGGGGATATTGCCATATTAGTCCAATGATTTCCCAAAATATGCTAATACAGAATAAATTTCTTCTAAAATGACACCAAGGGCGGAACTTTAATTAATTTTCTGAAGTCCTCAAATAATCAACTTAGTTTCTTTTTTTTTTTTTTTTTTATTTTGTTCTCAAAATCATAAAAGGTCTGATCTTAAAGAAGTGAGTTATTTCTTTTCTCGTCTTCCCCTTCAAGTGTAATTTAACAGTTGAGGAACCAGTTGCATAATTTGCCTCCAGTCAGACAGTTTTCCCATTTTCAAGCAGGAAGGTATGTTACAAAACAGAAGAACACCATGTGCTGCCAGGAGAGGAACTGACAGTGGCTGGAAACAAATAAACAAAAAAAACCCCACCCCTAGCAAGGACAACAAATGGTATCACTTTAATACCGGGGCTACTGACACAGGGCTGAAGCAATCAGGTATGGACTTTACAATCCGTTAAGTTTCTGTATTCAAAGTACAGAGCAAAACTGTTGGAACAATAAAGGTGTTAACCACAGAAAAAAACTGCCAGTCATGATTTTCCATTTGCAATAATTTAAGTTTCCTTCTATCGCTGTAAGCAAGCTACCTATAAAGAAAAAAAGCTCAGTAAAAAGGAAAACCTGCACTGTAGTATTTTAAGTAACTGAAGCAGCAACGACAGAACAAACTTACACAAGATTCATAGAATCACAGAATCGTTTAGACTGGAAAAGACCAACCGTTCCCCTAACCCTGCCATCCAACCACTAAACCATGTCCCTAAGCATCTCATCTACCCGTCTTTTGAATACCTCCAGGGATGGGGACTTGACCAGCACTCAACAATTCGAAGACACAGAATCAAAAGACTCCACTTCCTCATGGCATTCAATTACTGCAGATAGCCTGATGGCAATCGGTTTGAACATGACATGTGTTGCAAGACAACAGGCAAATGCGTAACACCAGTATCACCAAAATTACAAAGCTACTCTATTAGTGTGTTTCACTGATGGTGCCAAAGCAGAAAGATCTAGATGGACTGGAACGAACAAATAACTCTGATGGAGCCAATTTCTTCACTAAGTCAGCACAGATAGCCAAAAGCACGTAGGAAATCCACATGAAATTCTTCAATGCAAAGCTATGTCAGGATGCTATTATTTTTCTGCTTTTCATCTTTGTTCTTTCTACCTTCCCCATAAGGCATTATTTCCATTGTTTACTGCACATTTCAATCTTGTATAAAAGCAATGTTACAATTACATCCCAATTTAAATAAAAATGAATTATGAATCAATAACATGGACTAGAATTCTAAACACAATTGCACCTTCTTATTGTTCAGATCAATCACCCAATACCAGTGAAAGGTGTACCTAACAAGAACTTGCACACTCATACTTTAGCATACTTATAACACATATTTACCTATAATGAATTATTTTTACTTCAATGTTATGCTATTTACCTCTTGAAATAATGGTTTCTAAGCCAGTCCCATTAACGAAGGCACGTTTGATGGTCTGTGTTTTCACATCAGTCCAGTATAAGCGTTCCTCAACAGCATCAAAATCTATGACTGTCACATCATCAATGTCAGGAACAGTGAAGGCTGTGATGAAGTTGAAGTAGGGATTTTCTATGTCCACCCCTCTTATTTCTGAATGCCTTGCATAAAGAAGAAATTTCTTCTTTTCTGTTAGAAAAAAGGAAAACATCACTCCTCATCTTCTTCACAACATTGGTAACAGAAGTCATTCATTTGAGATCACTTTACAAACGTGTAAATAATTTTTTTTATGAAATTATTTAATAACTCCATAAAACCTGCAGCCTAGTGACAGTTAAGGGAAAAAAGTATGTTACAGAGCATAAAAATCACAGGAAAAATGTATTTTGGACACTGGACAAGAAGTTACAATACCACTAAATCAATATGGTCTTGTGCAAGTCTATGGAAAAAAAGGTTAAATGAGATTTGAAAAGTTTTACCCCACTTATCCCAGTCAAAAAAAAAAACCCAACAACCCAAACCTGTTTCATTTGCACATCATAAAAGATATAACATTTGGTATCTCAGGGGAACAGGGAAGTTTTGCAAACAACAAAATTTAGGAGGAATTCCACAATGTTTGTCTAAGCAGTGAAAGCCAAAGAGGTGGAAGAAAAAGAACACATCGATTGTTCTAATTTAGACATCCACTAATGAAAAAGGGTGATACATCGAAGGCAAAACAGAACTATTTTTTTTAATACCAGAAGTCTAAATTATTGGAGAAATGTCTGTGAATGTTTTTTTCCCCGCAATACCCTTGATATGACAAAATATATATATTTTTTTTTATTTTCTAGACATTATTAATCAACACTGAAAAGAGTAATGTAGTACAAGGTTTTACAGGTAACAGGCACAATTATCTGACATTTTGAGGGGTTTTATTGCTTAAAAGTTTTTATTGTAATTTTTTATAAAACTCCCCTGCAAGGCTGCATGTCTAATATTTGCTCTTCATTTTATTTTCTTAATCCTTGAAAATGAAACTAAGACAACACTAGAAGAACAGGTAGAGATTTAAGCTATTAAGCACCTTTTTGTTATTCAGCTTACCTGACTAATCATTTTCTGATGACGCACTTTACAGCGTAAATCTTTATGTTTTGCAGAGATAAGTTTTACTAACATATCATACACATAAGCAACAGAAAAAATGGCTCTGGTAATAAATATCAGAGCTCCACACACCTCATATATTGTAAGTTTTCCATTCCCAAAAGGTAGATGTCCCTTTAAAACATCATTAAAATGCACTGTAGAGATTGTTTTTAAGATTATGTATTTTAATATGTACAGTTCAAAATTCTAAAATCAATACAGCTGTTAGGCTTTCGAAGGAATACTTACCATAACATGTTTTCTTGTCTAAAGACAGTTTCATCAGATGTGGACAGGCACATGCAGCACTTCTGTTGTGATTGATCAGACACATGTGAGAACATGGACCTCTGCCCTCATTAGCGGCGCATGGATTGGAAGCTAAAATTGAATAATGAAACACAGAAAATATAAAAACACCTTCTGGAACTAAGGTTTGTCAAACTAGCATAAGCTACACTGGTGAGAAAGTGGTGAAAATTCTGTTCGGAGACAAACCCGGCCTCATTGATTCACTGAGCTTGCACTTTAATCACCTTTTCTAGGCTAATATTCAACTCTTGTCCAAGCATATACCTTTTATATTTTTTTTGTCAGTACAGCCACAAAATTTATCACTGTAACTTCACGAAGCTACTGGATAAAATTTTCCCAGTGAGATATTAATTTTGCAGTCTATTTATGACATTAAATGTCAGGAATCGTATGCTTCTCATCAGGACACATGGCAAAAGAAAATGTTGATGTGACGAGGACTTGAACAACAAATTTCATTTTGTGAAGAGTCAAAGCTTAGACTATGCAATGAATTTTGGCAAATTCAATGTTCCCTCTCAATTTGATCTACCAACTAGAATATTAGTTGGAAATCTAACATGCAAAGATAATCTGAAAAAAAACATGCCAAAGTATTTCTACTTTTCTCAAAGAAAAGCCTCTTCTAAGTGTATCTTTTTTCAAGTGGCTTCCTATAGTTTACTGATTGAACAAGATGTGCTAAAATTGCTTCAAAGGGCAAAAAGAAAACTGACCAGAGAAGACTTCTTAGTCTTACAAAATCTAGAAACTGTGTTTATTTTCTCCATTCATTATTATACACGCACAGTTCCAGAGGACTCCTGAAGAGACATCCCAAGCATAAACAGAAAGTAATGTAGCATTTTCCATTTACAAAAAAACCTTAGAAAATTAACAGTGATGAAAAGGGAAGTGGGAATGACTGACTCATAAAGACAAACCTATAATTAACAAAATCAATTAGTTTATAATCTATTCCTCCAACGCTGTGCTAGCCTGCAATACAAGTAATTAGATAACTAGAGAAATCTGATGTATGAATTTCTTCGCGAAATAAATTTAGCTCAAACTCAAGCATGAAAATTTGAAGACAAAAAACAAGGTTTGCTTCATTGAACTGTTGCTTTTTCATCAGTGCATGCTTCCTTGAATTTATCCACCAACTGCTGAATCTTTTAACTACTTATTTGTCTGACCAGTACTACAGGAAGAATGAAACTTCTAAAACCTTGGATAAATAGGTCAATGAAATTCTATCCTCATCTTCCATCATTCTAAGAAAAAAAACATATGTGATTCTGCCTTTCCCAAAAATTACAAGGTAGAAATGTTTATTTAACATCATCACTTTTCTTGTTTTTGTAGTAACAATGTGAAAAAAAAAATGGGGCGACATCTTTTCATAAGTTCACAACTTTGTGTGGAAGATAAAACATGTGAAGCTGAGGAAAAGAGACTGAAGTTACGAAGGTTCCAGGAGACCTTCAGGATAAGAATCAATTATTAATGGGCTATTAATATCAGTAAATATAAGTCACCTATCCCTATGAACTACACATCAAAAATGAAACAAAATTTAGGGGTTTGACAATATTGTGAAGGACATCATAGAATCATTTAGGGTGTAAGGGATCTCAGGAGATCATCTAGTGGTTCAACCTCCTGCATTTTTTGGCATTCTTAATACTGCTGCTGCAAGATTTAAGATTTAATCATACGTTTTGTGAAACAGCATTTCTTTTAATTTATTTTTAATACAAAGCAGTAATTTCAGTGAAACCTCAAACTCTTCATAAGCATACAACTGTCTGTGGTAAGGATCTACTTAGGGCCTAAGAATAATAATCTCCATCTTGTCTTTCTGTGCAAGTAGTGCATTATGCTCTTCTCTACCAAAGTTACTATTTGAGCATGGAATTCAAATAAAAGAACACAGAGAAGAAAAAATAAAAGCCATGCTAGTTAATGATCATCTTAAAGAAAGTCGTGGTTAAAGTATGCTACAAACATCGACAGAGAGGAAACAGTACAATTTGTGTACTATCTGTCCACATCACAATTCCCTTCCTATATCATGGAATACAAAATTGGTGGAAAAAGAAGTGTTATAAAGCAGATGTATTTGTTTCCACATGCATGCACAATTGGAGGATTAAACCACCATAATCTAAAAGTTACTTATACCAGTACATATGTATATATTCCCTTCATATTCATACTGCTTTCACTGAATAACAGCTAAGCCCATTCTTTACTTACTAATAAAAACTAATTCTCTTGAAGGCAAAGAGGTATGCTATCACTTTGAATCTCAAAAATTCGGCTCTTTCATTTCCTTGCGCTGGTTCTAATTCTTCTTTCTATTTCTACCGTGAGTAACCACATAACCATTCCTTATTCACCTTCACTGTGCCACTTACAATTTCACAGACTGCCATCATACAGAAGCCTGTCTATAAGCTGTATTTCAAAAAGAATCAGCGTACCTGTCCTCATACAAAATCCTTTCCCATACTTTTGCTCAGCCTGTCAAGCTTTTTCGGTATCTTTTATATGATCTGTATACAGTATTCAAGATATGGGACTGATATGGATTTATACAGCATCACAGTTCAGCATCTGTGGTTCTGTATTCCTTTCCCAATCATTTCCACCAATCTATTTTCCTTTTGATCACGGCAACCCACAGAACTGGCATTTTCACCAACTGGCCAGCCTTTTGCATTATTTAATTGATTTCCATTGCTGACTGCTTGTCAATCTACTTCTTTACAGTACTGTGCACAGATATACGCATGTCATTCTTTGCCATCATATTTCTTCTTGACTGCTCTTTAAAACACCATTTAAACAAAATGTTTATTTTTCTTGACCAGTAACCCTTAAAAAAACCCTCAGACATTCTATCAGAAGTTGACAAATGAACAGTTACTCTGACAACCTCTGAATATGCATTCTCTATGGACCAACTTATCCTCCCTGTTAACTTCATATCGAACCTGTCCCTTCTCAGCATCAGATTTTTGCTAGGCAAAGTTCTAATCTTATACTTTAATGGTGCACGACTTGATTAAATTCTGCCTACACCTTGAAACATATGGACTACAGTTGCATCAAAAGGGTACTTTTAAATCACTGACAATCTATCCCCACTCATATTTAAAACCAGTTATAGATCTAATCCTCTGCTCACTACTTTCTGTAGTCCTGCTTTTCATAGGGCCAAAGATCCGTCTGCTGTACTCAGTTAAGTTAACATCTTTATACTACCTGATTATATCTAATTATTTTAGCATGAATCTTTAGAATTTGGAACTTAGGACTGATCAGAGAATGTATTAGTTCTAAAACACATGTTTATTTCCTGTATTCACTATTTCTACTTCAGATTTTAGTCATTCACTTGAAGAATTAGTCAGCATACCATCTAACAAAAATTTACATATTCAACATGAAAGAAAATAAACAAGAATATTATTAGCTGAAAGTTAGCACAATTCTTCATGATACTCTATTGCATATGGTGTGATAGCTTTATGGTAATTCTGAAGCTCTTATTAACGAATCTCTCTGATTTCCCCCCCAGCATACAGTTTGAGATGAAAGGGTACTGCAAAAAAACAAACAGAAAAATGTAATTAATGATGTAAGTCCAAAACAAAGAAGGGACTGCCTGAAATAACTGACCTTAAAAAAAAGCATACCGACATACTAGGCAGAGAGCAAATGAAGATGTAAAAGAATAACAAATGTTGTAACGCTAGGGTATTAACATGTGGAAAGGCCAAAGCCAATAGCACTTTTAGGAGCAGGTGCTATGCTTTATAGAAAACTTTGAAAAAAATCAGAAATTTGCTGTTAAAGTAAGTAACAAAAAAGCAGTAACAAAAGATTAAATTAAATCCAAGTGTGAAAAATGACACAAGAGTTACATGACAGAGTGACTGAGAAATAAATCATCTGGTAAAATTCAATACATATATAGTAATATACAAGGAAAAAAAAAAACAATTTCAAGTTACATACACAAGGATGAGCACTGAAACAGCATCCACACTTAAAAGATCCTTTTCTTAAGCAACAGATTATATAATGGCTGTTCAATGCCTCTCTTACTACAAGAGGTAGGACACGCTGAACAGAATTATCAAGTATTAGGGTCAAAACAAGCAAGATGAGGTCCTCTCTCACGCAGTGCATAGTTAATGCAGCAGAGCTATCTGCCCAAAAAGCTGTAAACATCAAGAACGAGTTTGTGTAAGTTCAAAAGTCAGCTAGGAAAGTTCATGTGAGAAGAATCAGTCAAAGGCTGGAAATCCTTTGGAAGCACAAGGATATAATTTTAGGTTCAAAAATCACTGAGAGTTAGGGGTTACTGGAAGGTGACAGGCTATATGGGAGAAACACGGCTGTTATCTTCGCCCAGGTCCATACTTTCCTGTAGGCACTGATCATTCGTTGTCAAGGACAGGATGCCGAGTTAAGACAAAGGTAGGAAAGACTGCTTTTATAATTCCTATAACAAAAATGGAAGTTTCACAAGGCGCAAAGGAGTCCAATTTAAAGTTCAGAAAGATTGCACATATTTTGCATGATACATACACAAATCTTGTGCTGGCTTTGAAGTAAAAAGAAGGTTGTGATAAAATCTCAGACTAATAAAATTTTTAAAATCCCCCAAAATAAAATAGTCAAAACACTGCTTATATGCATCTTAAGCTACATTTCTGTAACAAGTTATTTTAAAAAGCTGGCAATCCAGGCCTCAACAGAATATCGTAAAAAAACATTACCATGAAGTGAAATGGGGTTTGTGTTTTAATTACAAAAGAGCCCAGTGGTACCAATGTACTTTACATTCAGCAGTTATATAATAATAATATAATTATTGCTAGTCCTGATTTTTAGTCTACAAAAGTTTTTTTCTATTATTCAAAATACTGCAAAAAACTGGGGAATGTGTGAGGAATTCATAGTTTTCTAGCTGTGATCCTTCCAATGCACTATATTTACTCCTCTCATTGCTGTCCTCAGTAGTAAGCCTGATGGTACAAGTACAACTTCTTGCCTAAAATAGAAGACCTTGTTCTTTGCAGCAAGTGGATTTTTAGAATATAATGGTAGTTGAGAAAATATTCTTCCTAGAAAACCTGTGTTTGCTATGTTAATAGCATTCCTGACACACAGCTTTGATTCTGTGAAGATGAGTAGGTCTCAAACTCATATTCCTGAGATGTGACATCATTCTGCATTAGATCATGAAGCCTTCCACAGTCTCCTGTGGTTTATTAACAGATGAACCAATCATCCATAGAAATATCTTGCTATAACTGCACTACCTTAAATTAGCATCTGTCCTAGATTAACTGAAATAATGTTGCTTCAGGCTACAGGAATTTATCTAGCTCTGCTCTACTTTATTTCAATCACAGTAAGTTCCATGAAATATTTTAAAAGATAATAATCTTTCACCTACATAGGCGACCCAGATGTATACCTATGGAGCTGAGACTACAAAATGTTTGTCCTCCAGTGCTATATTTATACTGACATTTTGCAGTGTAAATCTACTCTTAATTTTATCTTGGAATTCTAAACTGCGTGCTATCTTGTTGCATTTATTGCAAAAGTGGTACAAATTCAAAAGAAAAATTAAGAAGTAATCACATAGTATCACCATTTTTCTCTAGCTCCAATAAAACTAGGTACTGGAGATTTGTAGAAGTTGCTTCCATTGAAAGAGAATAACTTAGAGCAAAACCAGAAGGCCAATCATAAATTGGTATCTGGTGTTTTCTACATCACAAAATAAAAGCTGAAACATCAAAACTTGATATTTGAACTTCTCTATTCTGGCAAGTAACTGCTGAAAACTCTTCTACAGCTTGTAACCTTGCCTTGAGGCCAAGATATTTGTGACTATGGAATACTGACTGATGTCTCCCTAGGCTATAGTCTCTCTCTAAAGACGTTGCCTGGCCCGTCTAAACAGAAAATAGTTGGTTTTTTTCTGACAGCAAGAAATAGCTAATGGGAACTCTACTGTTACTGTGAAAACACCGAATAAAGAACACAGTTCCTCAATTCCCAAAGTTCAGGCAGTGACTAATTATAAAAAATAGCAAAAGCCATTACTTGAAAGGGGTGTGCAGAGATGCATATTTGCTCTGCCTATATTTTAAGATCATGGGCATATGTGCTCCTTTGTGCAGAAGTCAGAGAGCTTTGTTAGAACAGTACCCTGCCCTAAAAAGTAAATTCTCCTAAGAGGCTTATTTCAAAAAGTAATAAATCCCAAACAACTTAACATCCACTGAAAAACAGTAACATTCTTCTTTAATGTAAATTCATTATTATTTTAAAATAAAACATTCAGAAAAAAATGTTTCCTGACAGCATATGTCACATATTGTAAGTTAGATTAGGAGTTGTTCACTGCAAGTCCTTATCACAGTTGTCATCGTGCTAAACTCCTGAACTAACAGTGAGTTGTATTCATTGCTCTCCTTTTTTCAGTGCATGCTATTAGAGAGCATTCTTCAAAGCTTTTGACAAGTGTGCAGGGAGAATTTTACTTGCTGGTACTCATTTACATTAGAGCTATATCCATAGTCTTCTGTGTGTAACTAATGCAGAACTGGGTTCCAAGACATTTACAAAGCCATACAAAATTGTCAGGATTTATGTTTTCAAATAAAGATTGCTCAGAACCTACTAACATAAAAGTCTGAATAGCTTGCTGAGCAGTGCAACCCTGGGTGAGAAGAAAAACAAAATATCATTTCTCAATATTAAAAAACCAAAACCAAAACAATTATACGTGACACAAATTTTAAAGTGGTTTCTAGGACCACCAACTTTTTGGCAAGAGAGTTGAATTTTTTCTAGAGATCGTGAAAAATTCTAATTGGTGGTCATCCTCCAGTAGTAAATTTTACTTTCCTACAAATTAAGCCACTGTACTTTGTCATATCTAACAATAAAAACACATATACAATTCTTTTTTCAGCATTGGTATTTTCCAGGGCACATCCCAAGAGCTTCTATAGCTAGATACGACCCAGACGTGTCCTATAACAGAACTTAATTAACTAATAGATAGCACAGTGGGGGTATCTCAAGTATGTCAGAATGTAACATTGAACTCAAACCTAGGAAAATAAGGGGAAAAATGTACATATACATTGGCATATCTAATGTACCTATATGTACAAATGTATATGCATTAAGTATATATTCACATATTAACTGCATTATTATAGACATGATATCTATAAAATATGTATTATTCACACCCTAGATAATCTGTATCTTTAACCCCATTTACACTAAATAACCTACAGAAAGTCAAAGGTGGGTGATGGAGAATTAGAGACGGTGAATTTACTAGGGAAGAATGAACTGCTTAAGAGAGACAGCACGCAGTAAGACCACTGCAGAAGAACATTTGCTGGAGTAAACTTAAACATACATATAATCAATAAGAGGGCAAGTCACCTCATTCATTAATCATGACTTGTTCTGTTCTGGATGATCTGTTTTGTTGTTTACAAATAACCCATAAGTTATTGATATAAAAATATTAAAAAGCCTGCAGAGACTGAATTTGTCCCTCCGATGGCTGATACAACTAATACAAGATTTGCTACACGTATATAGGAAAACTATATTGAAGAGATGGACTATATTGAGAAAGCTGGCATTTCAGCTGCGGTTGAGAGGTTCTGAGCTCTGTTCTCTTTTTGACCAATGCTCTAATGTATCTCTTTGCAAAACTGGGTTTTGAAATTGTCCGCAATATCATAATAATGTCTTCCTGTCCTATATTTGGTATTGTAACTTTAAATTTATTTTAAACATGAACATAGCTATAGTTGTATCGAAAAATGTCACTTTATTTAGTTCTTCATTCTACAATGGGATCCACTGAGATAACTGATCTCCAAGTATCCTTCCAACAAAATAAATGAAGAAGTTTAATCAGGCCCATTCTCTTCTGCTCAGCATCCCATCATATTCTTTCATTACTACTTCAGCTAACCACCTCATCCACATTGTTTCACATTGAATAAAGTTGAGCATCTGATTCAGAAGCCCAAAGACTCCTAGTAAATGACTGTAACAACACTTTCCAACTATTTCCATTAACATTTATGATTTCCGAGTCAGAGATACAAGGACTTTGAAGAGCTCAACATTTGGAAAGTCCAAGAAGGAGGAACTATAAAGCCCAATTAAAATTATCTTTTTTATGATGGTAGAAGTGGAGATAACTGTCAGTAAGAAGAATATTGCCAGTTGTCAGCACTGTGCCATGTTTCTTGGATTCACCTATCCTCAACTCGACAGCAGTTGGGGAAAAAAGGAAGTACAAGGGAAGGCAGGAAGACGTGTTTGGTCCAGTAGCAGATAGTGCTACTAACAGGTAGGTATCAGGATGAAATCACAGCAAAATGTGCCAATACCCTCTATAATTAATTTGGATTTAATTATTCCTTACGTTATTAGCAACATACTTAGGTACAATCTATATATTGCCATAACTGAAGCTAGAAAATTTAGAGTGGACAAACAAAATCTCTGTATTTGTAATCCTCATAATCCTCAGAGAAGTAATAAATACAGTTATACTCTAGAAAAATACTAGATGTGCAACTAGGGCTACTGTATGATTTCTATCTTGGTCCTCATGAACCTTCACATGTACGACCACTGAAATCAATAACTTAAATTTATTGACTGAATTTTTACCATCTGAATGAGAGATTCACTCCTCAGTGATAAAACCATTTGAAGCTACAGTTGAAGTTAGAGGGAAATCATTAGGTTTTTTACCTATGCAACAGATGTTGTAAATCTGTCTCAAGGAGCTAAGTTTTAGCAGGTTCCTGCATTTTTCATTAGGAGTGAAATAGAATATTTCATTAAACCTGATAGATAAAATCTGGTCAGTTTTCATTTTCAAGATTAATTTAATCTTACGTTATAGAAGCTGAAGATTGCTAAATACACAACTACTGTTGGACTATCTATCTAATGCCTATGCACTTACCGTAACTGTGCAGCAGGTATAAATAGATGTTATGCTATAAAAGCTGGTGTAAAATTGAAATGGAAATATATACACATGAAGAGGTAAGCTTTATACAGATCAAAATGGGAAGTTAAAGTTACAAAATAATGTATCAAGAAAGAAATAAAGAATTTCCTATTATTAAGTTAATGCATATACTGTAAACTTCCTTTCAGTTTTGATTGTTAGCCACACCAAAAATAAGTTATGATGTTTCTTGAGGTTTTAAACTCCAAACTCATGCCCCCAGCAGGCTGAGTTCATTCTCCCGTGGAAGACATACTGTATTAATTTGAAACTGAAAATTTTAAATGTTATTTTAAAATAAAAGCTGTTAAGTGAACAGGATATGCTTTGGAAAAGTGTCAGTTTATGGACAACACTCAACTGAGGCTATTTAGGTAGAAAAGTAGTGGTCTGCAGTGGTGGGATCTAAATTACGCAGTCCTAAGAGTGAAAAAGAAGACTGAGAAGCAAATAAGAGACAGACAAGTGAATGAGTAAATAAAGGCAAATTACAGCACAAAGTGAATATTTACAACTAATAATTGTATACACAGTTTATTTCACAGAAAAGTTCATCTTCCTCTGGAGAGAAGCAAGAGGAAGACAGCTAACATTGTTATGTTTACTTTTGTCAGACTAGTTGCTCCAGATAACAAAATAAGTAAGTTGGAAGCCTTTTAAATACAAATGGTTCAGCACTATATTTGTAACATGAGTCCAAATGAGCTATATTCACAGACACTGATACCGTGAAGCTTCTGGTTCGACTAAAGATTCTATTACCACCCAAGGAACACTAGCACTGAATACGACATTTAATTAAGAATTGTCAGTTCAAGGCAAATTTGTATACAGATATTTGTATATAAAAAGAATACTTTTTCTCCCGCTCATAGGAATAATAATTAATTATTCTATAAATAGTCACCTTGTGGTTGACGACTTGGATGATATATCTGAAGATCAAATGGCTGAGCACTTGTTTTTTGTATTACACTGACATTTTGGCCAGTCCATTTATTGGCTTTTGCAAGTGTATTGGTCCGCCAATCTGTCCAATATACTTCACTCCCATACAAAGAAACAGCAAAAGGGTGAGAAAGATACTCATGACCCCGTATAATCTCTATCATGCCGGTTCCATCATATAATGCAGAATAAATGGCATCCGATCTACAAGATAACCCCAAATTTAAGATTACATAAAAATAAAATAAAAATCATAGAACCATTATGACATTCATGCAAAATGTATAAAAAACATTACTCTTACATACTGGTAAAACTAAAGAATGTTTACAGTGCAGTCATTAAGTTCAGAGATGGTTTAGTTCACATTATTGATTTAACTAGGGATATGAAATACTGGTTTGTTCGTATACTGTTTTAAAATTCAAGTTTACCTCCATGTTGTGAAAAAATAGCAGGAAAATCAGTTTCCATTCAGATGAACTTACACACAAAAACAATAATGAAATAACTTTGATGCTTCCATGTGTAAGTGTCAGGGAGGACAAATGGGTGACTGCTCCCTCAGGCACAAGGAGCCATAGATGATGCCACAGCTGGCAGGGCAGAGGCTTCACTGTTCAGGGCCACATCCCACTGCCCTCAAGTGAGGTGAGCAGGGCAGGCCCCAGGGGTGGCAGCCATGTTCAACCAAGAGCCCAAATCACCAGAAAAGTTTGTGATGGCAAGACCAGTCAGGCCAGGAAGCCACTCTATTGGGTTGGGGACTAGACCAAGAAGGCCCATTGCCAGGCACCACTGGTGCTCCAGCGGTGTCACCCAGGCAGGGGCCGAGCTCCAGGGCTGTGCTGAAATGTGCTCCTGGGACCACAGGCAGCACCCATGGAGGGAGGTCCCCGAGAAGCCTGGTAGGGGCCATTAAGGTCTGCTGGTACAGAGCATGAAGACTGTGAAGAAATTATGTATAATACTAATGCAATTAAAGACATGTATATACCGTACATTTGCACAGAAGACTCTCCACATACATAATGTACATAACTATGTTCCAATTACAATGTAGTTCATATTTTTGTATGCAAGAATAAGGATTTATAAATAGACAATAAGAATACTGTTATCACGTTACCTGGCATCTGTCCACACTATTCTTTTTTCAAAGTGATCTACAGTAAGGCCATTAGGCCAGGCTCCAGTATCCATATCTTTATATATGATCTTTCTTTCCGCTCCACTCATGGAAGCAGATTCAATGCGAGGAAAATTTGCATCCCAGTCTGTCCAAAACAGAATTCTGGTGAGAGGAAAAGGAAAAGAAGAGAGAGATAAGAAAATATTAAAGCATGCAGAACAATTTCAAATGGTTCAGTAAGACAATAGTTGGAAAAAAGTTCAAATATTAACATTTTTTAAATGAAACGTATAAACATAGATGAATTTGGGTAACCATTTAAATTCCTTGAAGTAATAGGGTAACGTGGAGGTAATATTATTAGTGTTAGAGGAATCACGAAACTCAGTAAAGTTTTTTAAAAAATAGAAGTTTAATACTGTTCCCTTTTTCATGTCCATTAATACAAGTAACTGCTTGTCTTGTCTTTCTTCTATAATTAAAAACGCAGCTCATTAAAAAGAATTATAATGAGAGCCTTTTAAAGCAAAGAACAGATGAGGACGATGGGGATGGGAGAAAGGGAAGAAAGGTAATTTGAGGTAGCAGGGATTAAGGAACACGATAAACTAGAGATTTCCATTTATTATTAATAGTGTTCCAATGGAGACCCCTAGATTTTGGTACGTCACTAATGAATTTTATACAGATTAGTCTTGCTAAGAAAACTGAAAAGATGTATTGTAGGGTAGGCTCCCTGAGTTACGTACTATATTTTTTTTCCAATAAGAGCTGTCGCTGTATAACCAAAGAAGTTTCTCGTTCAGTAACAGAAGCAGTGTCACCAAAAGGCCAAAAATACACTCCAACTGTTCTTAGCTTATGAAGTTTTCAACACACTTTTTTTTTTTTGTTAAAGCAAAAGAATACCTTTGATAGGAAAAGTTTTCATTAGTTGTAAAGAGCTAATTGCAGAGTGTCAGACTGTAACAAAACTTTTGACAAGTAACGTCAGACAGCTTCAGTCCTGAATATATATTCTAATAAGGCCCCTCCACTTAGTGCCCGTGAACAATAGCAGATGCTATGGTTAAATAATAAGGGCTAAGGGTATAAAAAGGCCTGTCTCCCTGCCAAACTCCATTTCTAGCACTCTCCCCGGGTGACGGTGTCTGCGCCGTGTGCGCTGGCTGTACAGACAGCTCCCAGGGCCTGCAGGGCTGGGGTGCCAGCGAGAGCAGGGAGCGGGGGTGTGGGTGTCAGCCTGTCATCGCCGGCAAAGGCGAAGCCAGACGGGTGAGGGGGTGAACGGGTGGGAGCCGGGTGCCCACGCGCATCTCCAGGAGCAAGGCGCCTGGGGGAGGTGGCTACGAGAGGGACCGCGAGGTCCTGGGGCCTGACTAAGAGACGCTGACACTTGTGGGGGTGTGTGGCAGTGGGGTGTGTGGAGGTGCATCACTCCCCTCCACTTCAATTGCTTTAGCACCTCAGGAATTCCCGCCAGACCTCAGGAATTCCTGCCGGACCTCCTCCTTTGTGTAAGCAGTTGGTCGGTTAAGTGCCCCTTAACCGTACCAGAAACTCCTACGTGGCTGAGGCGGGGAGAGGCATTGTCTACTAAAAGCACCGCTTGGCTGGGCAAGGAGGGGAGCAGAATGGGAGCAATCCGTTATCCCCGACAGCCTTGGAGCATACCTCACCCACACCGCAACCCAAGCGAAGCAGGACCGTTGCTACCAGAATTCCAGTGATGACCAGCCGGATTGTGGTCAGGGTGAAAGCTGACTAATGACTAAAGCCAATCATCTCACAACCCTATGAACGGCGGTTGTAAGTGAGGCCCTCCAAGCTCTCCTGGACCGCGGCGGGCTGTGGCCAGCACCTCCCTCTGTGGGGGACGCCTCTTGGAGTGTGCAAACTCGTGAGTTTGCGAAAATCAGAGGTCCATTGCCAAAGCCCAACAGCGGGCCCTGGGCTGAAACCCTCACTCCTTGAGGCTCAACCCTCACCCGGCTGAGAAATACCAAGACATTCAATGCGAATACTCAAATACTTCACTGAACTTGAGAGGAATTTTTAACAGGTATACCTTTACATATATATATATAAAACCATAATCCTACCTCTGTGTATGCATGTGTGAATTGATTTAAATAATCCATATATCTGTGATTTAATTACAAAGTGAGTCTTAGACAGCTGCTAGACACATACTATCCTTAGACATAAATGGTTGACCAAGTCTGAGACTAAGATTGGACCTAGCTGCACCTAGACTCCTCTCTGAGAAGTTTAGAAAGCAAGGGGCTCTATTCTGAGCCTTGTGACCCAATGGGAGGATCTTCCTTATGCCCTGCATCCATGAACTCTCTGTGAATCCTTCTAACTCAAGCGTAATTTAAATTTCCTTTGTGTACTTCTCCCATGCAATAGTAGAGTGAACCTTGCCATCTTCAAATCTGTAACTAAGTTGCTGTTTTGCTTAATTTTGCCGAATCACTTTGTTAATCGACTGATGATTGAGTGCTGTTGAAATATCACAGTCAAATCCTATGATTTGGCATAAAGGCACAAATAAATTCTAAACTGCTACTAAATTGAATTGTGTAGAAACATTCATTCACGACACGGGGACAGCGAGGATCCAGGGCGAGCTACTGGGTAGGACTGGGTGCCTACACCCAGCTATAGCAGTGTGTTTGATGGGATCCCCACCAGCAGCTGGTGTGGGGCTGCAGCCTCGGGGGCTTATGTGGCCAGTCATGTGTATATGTATATATGTTGATCTATGTTCTATGCGTGCATCTGTGTGAGTGTGGACTGGGTAAACATGCTCAGCCTTACTGCAGGTTGTAATCAAAGGCATGGAGCTATGGCAGCCTCGCCTCCATTGAGATACAGCATTTGTGCAATCTTAACACAACCATCTACTTTGAAACATCAGTGTTTCCTTATTCATATTTATTTGTGAAAAGATTGCAGAGCTGTTTCCATCTGGGTTCAGAGATTTGATTCTTTCCTCACTTCTAACAAAAATGTAGCACACAATTGCTTCCGGCTTTTCAAAAGGCAGATCAAGCCTTCAGTTTCAGGAAGAGTGGTGATTTGATTTTTTTTTTTTCCCCTCCCAACCATTTAATTTGAACAACTTATCTGCCAATTCTTCTGCCAACAGGATGCCTCTTCTTAAAGATCTCTATAGATAAGCGATGCACTGTGTAAATAAGCTTTCTGGCACCTGAATTGAGAGGGCAGGGTCCTTACTCATTACAGCATGTACTTCCTAATTCAGAATTTTAGGCCCCAGAGGGACCTCAGGTCTCGGAATCTGGGACCTTTATCTACATTTATTTTTATGTTCACAGCAGTGTTTCTGAAATAAACACTCAGTGAAGACACATGATAGACCACAGCAGGTTCCTAAAGAAAATGAAATATGATGATTCTGCAAACTCACTGTAATTTATATTATTTTTGGCCATACGTACTTTGTTTGGGTTTTTTCTTTTGTCTCTGAAAGAACAATGGTTATGAGAAGAGGATGTAGCTACCGATCATTGCCTTTTGGTCATTCTAAGAGGATCCAGCTACACACAATACTGAGTAATGAGGTTTCTGTAATGAGTTTGCAGTTTCATATAGCCTCAAAACACTACTCTAACTCGAAGAATCATAAAATATTTGTAGTAGTAGACTGAATTTCAATATAAAATCAGAACTGAAACCTAGATCAACAGGGAGTTAAGGGTTCCATGAAGAGTTCTACTTCCCTTCCACTACTTAAGTCTATTGGCTTAAATTTTAAAACAAATGTCGTGCATGGGACCAAAAAAAAAAAAAAAAGCGGCTAATTTTAAAAGGAAGCAAAACCATCCTGAGCAAAGTTTTAATGTTAGTGTTTGTGTTTTTTGTTTCCTGTGAAGATTTTAAAATGGAATTGTGAAATACATTTATGCATCTGATGATTGCTAAAATGACACTTTATGGAAAAGGAGTTTTTATTGAGTTAGCATATTACCAAAATCAGGCAATATTTTAATTTAAGCACACTTTTTTTTAACACCCAATTTTGGCCTGTTTTAATTAATATTTTGTTTCTTATGATGAAAACTTTCTAATATTTATCAGAAACATTTAACTATGACAGGCATTAGACAAAAAACATGTTTGTGGTTGTAGGCTGAATCTACCATACACAGTTGCTTACGAGTACTAATATTCCAGTTTATAGACTATCCATTATGAATAGCTAGAAAAAAATACTGAAAGAAGTTGGCACGCATTATCTCCACTTTAAAGATGGAGAACCAAACACAAAAGGTGGGGTATACCTCTCTCAACTTCTATTCTTCCAGTGACATCTAAGCTATGCTTTTATAGTCCCGCCAAAACAATCAATCTCTAAGTGAGATCAATCACCTTGACAATACCTAAATCTGTCCATTAACCACACAGGGAGTTTAGACCAAAGGCTTCAAGTTGCTATCACCCACATTAAAAAATTAAATAAAACAATCACACAGCAAGGGAAGTAATTTGGCAACAAGTAGACCCATGTATCTCCTGACTTACCTTTTTTTAACCCTTTTCATTGGGGCAAAACACACTAATAATGGATTGTATTTCACTCAAAATACACTTTCAAGAACAATTAAAGACAAATTAGAAACTATAACTCAGAGCAAAACAGAAAATAAAATAATCTCATACTTAAACCTCTATCTTTAAAATACTTTGCAACATGAAGAAGTAATGTTTTTTCTAATTACCCATATCTGGGATCCAAAGCAATAGCCCTTGGATGTTCCATAGCTCCTGCTATTAACGTTGTTCTCAAAGTGCCATCCAGTTTTGCTACTTCAATTTGGTCCAAATTGCTGTCTATCCAGTATATGTTTCCTGCAATCCAATCTACAGTAAGACCTTCAGGTGTGGCCAGGCCATGTTGTACTACCACCTCAATGGCACTAACACCTTGGTGGGGGGGAAGAGACAGGGGGTGGGAAGGAGAAAGACAGAGTCTTAAAAAAAATAATATAGAGTCTGATACAGTGAACAAGGGCATACAAGTCTATCATATGCTCTTGGAGTAAAGTCTTGATTAATCTGATGGATGGTAATACTTTGCTTAATGTGATATTTTTTTCTTTACAAACACAATAGACTGCTATAAATAAGTACATTTTTGGCAACGTAAAAATAAACTTCATTCCACAGTAATAGAAATTTTTAGTTCTCTGTTGATTTAGTGAGTAAAATTCTGAAAATTTCAGTAAAGGTCAGAGATCCCATGCAGTGTAACAAGGGAGGCGTACATGTGCCCTATTACCAGGGACCTCTTTTGCAACATCTGTGAAGGACATGCTCATGCTTCACCTCCCAGTGACCAGACGTACTAGACAAAACTCATGCAAGCTCTATTTCAGTTCTTTCCCAATCAGAAAGAGAGAAAACTCAAACATTGTGGTGAAAACAAAAATAGCAGGGAGAACCCTGTTTGGACTACACATTTTGAAAAGCCCTACAATAAATACTCTTACTTTGTTCCTTCGAATTCACATGCACAATTCATACTGTCACTGTCTACTAACAGCTCTTCCCTATCAAATACTTCCTCTGGAGAGTCTCAAAATTTTTCACACAAACGGCAACTACAGAAGCACTCTGTTAGCCCTCAGGACTTCCAGGAAGGCACAGTGCTCTTTGCAGATCAGTTCTTGACAGCTGCAAGACTGAGGGAGTAAATAATTTTTTTTTTAACAGAGCACAGAAGTCACGTGGGCTTTGGTATAGAGTGATTATATAGTGTGACATGAGCTTTGGTATAGCATGATTATAATACAGCAGGACAACACCAGACTACCTTACTGGTTTCATAAAAACATCACAAATGTTCATGAAAAGTAGCAAGTCTTTGGCCGTCTTTACATGCTTAGCAGCATAAGATATTTCTTTCCTGGTCTGGGTCTGTGGATATAAAAATACCCACAAATACCATCTACTAAGGAGAAGAGAAAGAAACCCAAACCAAAAAACAAGTGTGTCAGAGAATACATACACATCTGCGTATGCGAATTTTTACAAAAGCAAGTTAAACATGCTTATGCCTGTGAGCTCATGCAGGAATGAAAGCACCTGAATATACACTTCAACAAAGAACACTTTGTAGAAATACTTTTGTATATATTATGAGATTGTATTGAGTTATAGGCCATAATTATGTCACTAGGGCAAAAAACAAGTCTTTCCAAATGCTATAAAATTATGAAGCAAAATCTTTCACCTAGGGAGAGCAGATAATTTATCAGATGTCCGATAAATTCTTATACTTTTTTAATAAGGTGAAGGTAAATTACAAAAAATGAAAAAAAAAATCAATATTGCACCCATTGGACTGGGAAGAAATATCAGCCCTTTGCATTTGCTATTTTCTTCCTCCTATAGCCTATTTCAAAAGGAAACTTCTAGAATAAAAAGTCTTTTTCCAGCTCTACGTCAAGTACAATCTAGATATACAACTTTTTAAAGGCGGAATGCCATCATAAATTCTGTTCCTGTGAATGATAGCTCAGTTATGATTTATCAGATCTAACACCCTGTAACTGCAGTTGTTCTCAGTGTTAAGAAATTAAAGATTAAATTCATACCTCCAGTATCAGAGAGCTTGCCTCTGTAAATTTTGTCCTCTACCACATCTGTCCAGTACAGTAAACTCTGACTGAAATGAAAATCAAGTGCTATTGTATTTCTTAAACCAGGAACTAAGAGGCTGTAGTCACGTTTGTGAAGATCAATTTTTCTGATCTCATGTCGAATAGAAAAAATTATGAAAGCCTCAAATGGATCTGGAAGCAAAAGATTATACATTTCAAAAGAATAATAAAGAAGATACTGTTACATGTTGATATAAATGACAAGTGGAATAAGAACAACAGAATACTTTCTCAGGAGAAACAGATGAATAAAACAATTCATCTACTGATAAGAAGTCTTTCAAATACATTTCTAGTCCCCCAGACTTCTCACTTCTCCCTTCTAGCATTATCTTTGATCACAACTAGAGATATTAAACATTAAATTCAGGGATATCAAACTCAACTATTGAACCGTGTTTTGTAGCTTTACCACAAGGAGTCCATAATTAGAGCTTTAAAAAGGCATACATTCTCAAAATTAAAACCTGTTTTCTCAAAAGTTTCAGAAAAAATAATCCATTAAATTACACAGTTTCAGATGTCAGGTAGTTGAAACAATTTACTAAAATATATATGATGTACCTTTTGAATATATATAATGTCTGTTGTGTTTTCAACTGAAGTGCTTAAAAAAAAAACCTCACCCAAAACTACCAAGCAAGGAAATGAACATTTTCTATGCTTATTAACACACCCTGTCACAAATCCAATGATCACTAAAGTTCTTCTTTCTTTGTTATTCAATTAATGCTAGATTATTTGTGCATGTGAGTTTATATCAAATTGTATATAAATATCTGTAAATGATCTCTGCATAGGTCAACGCCACTATAAAATTAATTTTTTAATTATAATTCTTACATATTTTAGATTAGGAAAAGTTTTTTAAACAAGTAGCTGTGTTAATAAAACAAACAAGAAAAAAAAATTAGATTCTGTAAACTGTTGAATCAACTTGGTATAGCCACTTCAATACAGAAAGTTTTTCACACCAATCCTTTTCTGTGGGAAAGTAACGGGGTTTTTTTTTTCCAGTTCTTTCTGTTTCCATGCAATTAAACCTCCATTTTATATAAAAGACAGGGTATTGGCAGTTTATGGCAATAGGCAATATTACATTGTTCAAAAGTGTTCAGAAAGATTGCACAAATTATCATCAAATAGCAAAATGCTTATATACCTCTTTTTAAGAAGATTAAATTAATGTTCTTCTCTTGATAACCACTGCACACACTGATTAAATTATCTATGATGTTTTAAGTTAATCAGGTACCTCAGTAGAGCTATGTTTCTGCTCTTGAAGTACTTGTTCATAATCTGGCTTGGACTTTCCAAACGATCCTCCTATTTGTTAAAGCAATGAATGACTTTCTGCTAAAGCAATTTTTCAAAGCTCTGCAGTAGTTAAATAATTTAATGAACAGGATCACTGACATTAGCAGCTATTTTACAAGTACCAGTTATCTAAACCTGAGAAAACACTTTAATGGCACTTCCCAGTTCCTGATAAATTGGCAGCTATTATGCAGGAGACCACAGACTACTGATGCACTGCTTTTTAGGCAACTCCAATGCATAGGAACACACCTGATGGACATCACCAGTATCTTTTATGTTTCTCAGTAATTAACACCACAACGGAAAAAAAGAAATATAATAAAATTTGTGCTATGTTGGATGGATTTTTTTTTTCATTCAAAGTGGAAATAGTCTATCTTAAGCTACATAACCTATGGTGCAAATTATTAAGTACACTGATGAAAAGGATTAGAGTTCAATGGGATCTTGAGAAATTTAAGGTACAATACTTAAGAATGTAAATCGACAATGAGAAATGGGTAGGAAAATATGTGTAGGCAAGGTAACACCATTTTGTTTATTTGGATGTTTTGGTTTAAGTGAGCAGGTCACATGTTTTTTTTTCCCCCTCCTTCTTACCCTTCCTGTAACAATGCAAAGATGTAAACTCAGACCCTTAGTTATTGTGGCTGATACACAGTCAAGTCGCAGATGTGGTACTACATAAAACAAGAGAATGACTGATGTTGTGACAACAAGAGGCACTACATTGCAGTGCAAAATTTCTCTGGAAAGAATTTAGAAACCAGACAGCCAGAAGCCAGTTTTACATAGGCCCCTCTATGATAAGGCTATGTGCATACAGCCAAATGGACAGCAGTAATTACTGCCTGGCTGGTGAGTTGTGAGCCAGAGTCCAGCCACCACTCTGCTTTTTGACTGTAGCAATCAGTCCCTGTAACCTGGATGCTGGGTTGTGGTGGGTTGGCCCTGGCTGGATGCCGGGTGCCCCCCAGAGCCGCTCTGTCCCTGCCCTCCTCAGCTGGGCAGGGGAGAGAAAATACAACGAAAGGCTCCTGGGTCGGGATAAGGGCAGGGAGAGATCGCTCAGCATTCACTGTCATGGGCAATGCAGACTCGACTTGGGGAAAATTAGTTTAATTTATTGCCAATCAGAAGTCAAAGTAGGATCATGAGAAATAAAAACTAAATCTCAAAACACCTTCCCCCCACCCCTCTCTTCTTCCCGGGCCCAATTTCACTCCTGATTTCTCTCCCTCCTCCCCCCCAGGCAGTGCAGGGGGACAGGGAATGGGGTTGGGGTCAGTTCATCACACACTGTCCCTGTCGCTCCTTCCTCCTCAGGGAAGGACTCCTCACACTCCTCCCTGATCCAGCCTGGGGTCCCCCCACAGCAGACCGTCCCCCACACACTGCTCCAGCGTGGGTCCCTCCCTCCCACAGGGTGCAGTCCCTCAGGAGCAGACGGCTCCAGCGTGGGTCCCCGCGGGGGCACCAGCCCTCGTGGGCTTCCCACGGGGTCACAGCCTCCTTCGGGCACCCCCTGCTCCGGCATGGGGTTCTCCCCGGGCTGCAGGGGGAGATCTGCTCCCCCGTGGGGTCCCTGGGCTGCAGGGGCACAGCCTGCCCCACCATGGGCTGCCCCAGGGGCTGTGGGGAATCTCTGCTCCGGCACCTGGAGCTCCTCCTGCCCTCCTGCTGCACCCACCCTGGTGTCTGCAGGGCTGCTCCTCTCGCGTATTCTCACTCCTCTCTTCGACTGCAATTGCACAGGTTTTGGTTTCTCCCCACCTTCCTACATACGTTATCCCAGAGGTGTGACCACCATCGCTGAGGGCTGGGCCTCGGCCAGCGTTGGGTCCGTCTTGGGGCCGGCTGCATTGGCTCTGTTGGACATGGGGGAAGCTTCTGGCAGCTTCTCACAGAAGCCACCCCTGTAGCCCCCTCGCTACCAAAACCTTGCCATGCAAAGCCAATGCACTGGAGTAGTCTAGAATTTTTTATTATTACTGCCTGACCTCCTATATTACTGTATGTGAAGTACCACGTTTCAAGGATAATAAGCTGCATAAAATTGAGTATATAACTGATGGGATACCAGATCTGTAGGAAAGAACCTAGAAAATTAGATCAACAATGGCATGGCACTGTAAATAAGGTCAACTCAAGGTTTGCACTTGAAATAAAAATGACATAACCCTTACAACTCCCTCCTCCAAAGCTTTGGTGAAGACAGTCTACAATACTGCACCCTGTTCTGAGCATGGCTCAAAGCAGAAAGTGAATTAACTACAGGAATGCAAGAGGAAATCAGTAAGTGTTGTAAAAGGTCTAAAAAGTATGGCCTGCAAGGAAAGAATGGACTGGAATTGCTTAGTTTAAAAAACAATGGAATAAGATGATGCGTGGAAGCACATAAAATTCTCCCAAGACATAAAAGGCTGATGAATTGAAAATGGGAAAAATCTTGTTTTCTATGTAAATAACAAGTAGGCCAAGGATTAGAGACTTAAGCTGGAGCAGGAAGACTCAGAAAGATTAGGAAAAAGAAAAAAAATCTTAAAGAGAGTGAGGCACTGAAAGATCTCACCCCTGAGAAACTTGGGAGTTCACCACTGAAGGTGTCTTGAAGGTCTTTGAAAGCAGATAAACAGCAGCAGTATTACATAGCTTTTGATCTTCCTTCCAACCTTATCATTCAATGACTGTATAAAATGAACTATATTAGAGTGAATTAGAATTTTCAGACTGAATCAAATCAGTTTTATTTAAAGTTATGCTTCCATCACTATACAAAACAAAAAATTCATGTTATTTTCCCACTTGATTCCTCTTCTGGAAATTGGGAGTAAATACTTTTTATTTTACCAACTGATTAAGAGTATTTACATAAAAACCTCAACTTAATTCAATGTAATAGTTATTGATTCCATTCTTTAAAGCTTTTTAAAGGAAAGTAATTGGTAAGAATTTATTAGAGAAAAATCATATATTTCTGTACTTTTGAATTTCATGACTGGACCATGCTTTTTTTACTATATGGGTAAGTTTATAAAATATAGGATACAAACATAAAGCATGAACTGCATTAACAGTTGTAAGAAAACTTTCTGATAGAATTAAACTGCCTAAACAACACACTCAAAAAAGGCTGTATAGAAAAATAATGCTTCGCTTTTTCCAGTGGTTTTAAATTAAAATTCTTTCTTGGGAAAAATGCTAACTGAAGCTTACTGTAACAACAGTAGCACAGCAAGCAACCTACACTGTGCTTTTATGAAATTTACCTCAAAGGAAAACGATAACTTTGTAAAGAGTCTGGAAAAAAGAAAAAAAAAAAAAAAACTTCATTAAAAGTTTGACATTGCTCAGAGAGGATTGAACCATCTCTTTTTTATTTTTTCTCCTCCATTTCAGTACTGAAAGCTATCTGGAACTTATAACAAAATTGAATTGAAACCCAGCTAAAACAGATCAAACATACAGACCCATCATCCTCTTTTCCAAACATATATATCTAGTGATATAACAGAGCTCCCACAGCTTAGCAAGGGTTGACAGTAATTTTTTAACTAAATCTATACTAAGCTAAGTGTTTTTGAATTCATCTAATTTTTATTATACCAAATTCTGAAAGGCTGAACATAAACATCAAGTTTAAATAGCTTTCAAGAAGTTTGTTTTTTTTTTTTCCCTGTATGCTCATTATCATCTAAAAGAGTTCAAGTGCAATATATCAGCACAAGTTATTTTGAAATGCGTTCCAAGAGACACTAGGAAGAAGAGTATGAAAATATATAATTTATATTGACTTTCTATCTGAATAATGGAGCTCTGTAGCATACTTTTAGTTCAATCAATACAAGTTTAAACATGAATGAAACATTTGGTCTTTGGGAAGTCAGTAATGTAACACTACACATGCCACAACAGCAAAAAGCAAACGAGATGAAAACAAGAGATATGGAAAGTGAAGAGACTCTGAAGGGGAGAACCACAATAAGAAATGAAGAGAATATCAGCAGAAATAAGGAAAATCAGGGGAAACTAAGAGAAAGACATTGAAAGAGAAACTAAAAAGAACTGCTCAATTCAACCGATTTATTTCTATATGCTTATTATTCCATAACTCATTATATTTCTCTGGTAATTCATTAGATTCCTCTGACAAAGATTATTTGATTCTGATGTGCCACCCACCCCCCCTCCCCCCCCAAAAAAAAAACAAACAAAAAACCCACATACATTACTGCATTTTCAGTACTCATATTGCCATTAAATTTCTGATGGACACTCAAGTAAATGTTTTTACAATATTTTGAAAAAGTGAAGTGCTGCATGCTAACTTTACAGGTTATTGCTGCATATTAGTGAAATGTTTGATTGTATATAGGAAAGTGCTGGTTTAGATAGCAAAAAAATGTAGCTAAGGGCAAGGTAATAATTTTCTTCTGAGTAATATTTTTCTCCTGGAAAAGGATTATTACTTACTGCTCTAATATAATACACATCTACTCCCAGTTCAGGGCATTTTAAATCACTATGGCTATTCTAAAAATTACTTTATACCAACCGGTATTATTGAAAAAGTAGTTTAGCATTTGGGGGGCTGTTTATCTCACAAGATCACTTTGAACTCTACTTGTATCACATGAAAGCTTTTTTCTTTATTTTATGTTCATCGAAGATCTCATGCACAGAGACATAAATGGTATGGACATTTTGAGGCTAACAGATTTACAAATGAGACCAAAATTGTGCTCACTTTACTAAAATGCTGTTCATATATTCAACAACTAAAGTATCAGAGGATCTGTCCTTCAGAGTATTTATCGTGTCTTTCAAACGAAATAAACTGAAAGGGGCCAAGATCATTAGTGACTACAAAAACATATGTTATATTTAATATGGAATAATTTTGTTGCAGCTTTGATGTCACTATGATAGTATCTTTATGGTTTGGAAAGAAAGGTATCATTTTTCTTTTTACCGGCTGACATCAATGGTCTCGGATCATATATTTAATATTACATTCTTTGAGAAAATATGTAGAAATCAATTTGTAACTTCAGATTCTTACCAACATCAGTAAACATTAACCAGAAGTATCTCATGAATTTAAGAAAAACTGAGAAACCATAGCCTCACTTTTCTTAGTTTTCAGCATAAATGAGTATATTTTGCTTTGGTGTTGGGTTTTTTCCCTTGGCTTCCAAGCTTTAATTTAAAGGTCTTTTTCAGGCTTTCCTTCACTAAGTTACTAACACTGTATTTATTAAGTGCTTTTAATCTTTTCATCTCTGTAAGCCAGTAAGAATGAACTTTTTGAATTATTGGGAATGGTCACAATAAAACAAAGTAGATTGATTAAAAGTCAATGAGAATAAGACTAAAGCAGTGTCATAAAATACAAATTTAACAGCAATAAAATGAAGTTCAGAGATACAGAACCACAGTTATATGCCAGTGAAGCATGATTTGAGAGTCTACTATCAGCATAGCTCAGTAACGTCTGAACAACATACATTCCTGATCTCACACTGTAGTAGTAACTATTTACACACAGTAGTTAAAATGATGGAGACACAAAGATTCAATTTGGAGATCATTCTGGAAATTATAACAACAGTTATTCCAGCCTGGTGAATGTAAACCATGTCCTTAATGGATTAAAAAAAATAGCTCAAAGGCAAGACATACTGTTTAAGAAAACATCCATGACATAAACCTAAATGTTAATTTTTCGTTGTTTTGGCAAAGAGAAACATTATTTTTATTACACACAATAGATATTTTGGCCATAAGTAAATTGTGGGCTTCATTACTACTACAAAGTTCTAAAATGTTTTGTAAATTAGCTTATTGTGAAAGCAGAAGGCTTAGAATTTGCCTTCTCTGCAATATGGACCACTAAGTTTGCTGCGAGCTAATAAATTATTTCAGGTTACCAGCAATAGGAAACTTGGGCTTTTATTTCTAGCTCAGTGATTCAGAATTTTTTCATGTCATTCATCTGAGTAAACACTGAGTACCTGGAATAAGTCAAGAATATCTTCATCATGATATCTACTGAATTACAAAATACCCAAATAAATGATAGACAGTTTGGGAGATATTTCTACTCAGAATTGATAAGATGTTATCATAGAATAAAGAGAATAAAAAATAAAAAATATTGAAGAATCCTAAACTGAGATTTTGAAAATCTAGACAGCAAAGTCAATGTTATTTTTAACTCCCTGCAGGGGGTATAAAGATGTGATGGCAGTTTACATTGCACCTATCATAGAATAAAGAGAATAAAAAATAAAAAAATATTGGAGAATCCTAAACTGAAATTTTGAAAATCTAGACAGCAAAATCAATGTTATTTTTAACTCCCTGCAGCGGGTATAAAGATGTGATGGCAGTTTACATTGCACATACCATGTTTGCATTTCACACACATATTCACACTGACCTAGAAAAAGACACCCCTAACATAGTTTCTAAATAATGCTTCAGTACAGATCAATAGTGAACAGTGAAGGGAATGCATTCCCCACTCCCATGTTGGCTTATGTTGGTTTTCTTCTTGATTAGAGAGCTGAACAGGCTTACTGATGTCAAAAAACAAGTACCCGAATGTCGTAGGTGAAAAAATAGCTTCAACTGTGAACGCTTACAGGGATCAGATAGTTGACTACATGTGTGTGCATGCACGTTCAGAACTAAATTTCTGAACCCCCAGGTAATACTGATCAATATCATGATGGCACAGACTGATCCATTTCTTCAAAATACATAGCAAATCCCCCATATTCCATATATACACACACATTTACATATATACGTCTCCCCTGCATATTAAATATACATGAAAAACTGTATTCTTAGAAAGTCTTACAAGCAACAAACTAACATTGCAGTACCCCTACATCCTGCATCAAGAACAGGGATAGCTGTAATGAGTTCTTTAGATTGCCATCAGCCCCACATTTAGACAATCTAAGGCTATATTTCTTATTAAAGAAAAGGAAATAACCTCCCACTAAATGGACGTAACAGCTATTAACATCTGGTATACTGAAAATACACTGAATTTCAACTTACCAGTACTAATGCAATTTTCTCCATCCTTACTGAGCTTCCAGCCTTCGTAACATGAGCACTTGACGGTATTTTTATGCTGTTCACATACTTGACTACACTTCAGGTGCTTGGTACAGTAATCCATAATCTCACAAGTTTTGTTGTCTATATTAAGACTGAATCCTGCAGGGCAGGAGCATACAATCCTTCCTCCAGGAACCACAGAACATTGATGGCTACATCCACCATTGTTAAGTGAACATTCATCTGAAATAACATGAAAAAAAAATAAATTAAGGGCCGCAAGGGCTGTCAGTTATATTGCATATTCTTAAAGTCACCAGGTCAACTAAAAGACATAAAAAGCCCCTAAGAAGTGCAAACTGAATTCTAAACAGTGTTCTATGTTTATTTTTAAAATTATCTAATTTGTAAGTATTCAGCATGGCAGCTTTACGGCAATCTTTCAGGATTTTAGAATGGCAGATGTACAATGTATATACTTTTTTACAGACTTTCATGGATATTATTTCATTCACTTAAGAATTAAAGAGTGTTCACATAAAGTCAGTCCAAAGACCATTATGGGGCAACCACCTTCAATGGTGACCAAAAGCTGATGCACAGAGAAATAAGCATACTTTCCCAAATAATTCCCTTGCCTCCAGCCGCTTGAGCTTGTGTGGAGAAGGCTCCAATTCTTAGTCCTATGTATCTATATCCCAAGTAACTTGCCAAAGAAGCATGTACAAGTAGGATTTAAAAATCAGGATTCTTTTGTCATCTCCTTTTCCAGTAACAGCTACTGGAGAGCACTACTTCTGCATTCTGTGTCAGTGCGCTCACATTATATTCTGCAGGTAACTGATGATTTGCAAAGCTCTGCTAAATGGATTGAAGGTGATTCATGAAACCTTTAAAGCATCTGAATTAAAAGCTTGATAATTGTGTCTGTGAGAAATTCTGTGACCTCTGAAGCAAAAAAGCATAGAACTCTCCTTACCTCATAGTCTTATTGACATCCAGGGAATCAATGAGATGGCCAAACTGGTTCATGGTTACACTGGAAACTAGGCTTCACTTTTATTTTTTAATCTATTTGTGTCTTTTAGTTATTTTGTTTGATTCTAACAAGTCTCTGAAAGCCTTGCTCACTTGTGATAAGATCTATAAAACACAACAGTTTTCTACAGAATAATTATTACCTTCCCACTTAAAAAAAAAAAAAAAAAAAAAAAAAAAAAGCCTTTCTTCTAACAGCCCTTTGTCCAGATTTCAAGTTTGGGTTTTTGTGTGGTTTTTTTTAATCATAACAAAAAAGGATCCAGCTCCTTAATGTGTCTTAACATCCAAATGTGTTGCCCAACATCCCATATTTGTCCTTCAGCTTATATGCTCTGGTATGCTTTAAAACTGAATAATTAACAACTGCTGAAATACTGGTTTACTAATAGCACACCATGAAAAAATTGTAGCCACCGTTAAAATCCAAGCTTGGTTTTTATATATACACCTACACAGCATCCAACAGGATATAGGTGTCATAATGGGCTACTACTAGTAGAAAGACAATTGCCCAAACACAGAAATAGCATAGAAATAATATCAATGACCTTACGCTATCATTTCTTTCACCTGGAAGATAGAGAGCATGGGATTCCTATGTAGCGCTCAGAGGATTTAGGTCGACAACATAATCTTAACATCTTCTGGAGGAACACCGAATTACAGATCCCCCCTTACAGTACAGTCTGCCGGCCCGCGGAGCAGGACAGGGCAAAGACCCCTCTGCAACATCCCGCAGCGGCTGCTGCCCAGGCAGTGAACCCTGGCCCCTGCCCGAAGCAGTTCAGGCAACTCGGCACAGCCCAGAGCAGGGTCTCCTAGTAAAGACAGATCCTAGAGGGTGAAAATGCTTGTAAACATCTCCAAATGCTTTGTAACAGAATGCTGGAGATTGTAAAACATTTTATGCCACGCAAAGTCCGTGAGGAGAGGCAAATTTTTGATATAATAAAAAAAGAATTATAAAGTTACCTGAATTTTTCCTACAAGCCATCTTTCACTTCTTATCCCTAAACCTTATCCCAGCACAATACTACTGATATAGATATTCTTTCAAAATCTACTCATTTTATCTTTGCATAGATTTTATAATAATTCAATTAGGTTATCTGTTATACTTCTGTCAGCTTTTTTGTAGATTTTTTACTGAATACAGTTTGCTGAGATAACCTACGTTGTCTGACATGCCATGAAATCCCTTCAACACCGCCATCAGAGAGACATGTTAACTCCTCCTGGTTATCCCACTGCATTTCTTCATGAACTCCTACACAGCCACTGACAGGATTCTATCAACTCAAGTTTTGCAGTGTGAAAGAACCACAAATGAGCTGAAATCCTTTCATAGATACCAGAGCCTTTTAAATTGTTTACCTCCAGGGATGTTTTAAGGGGTTAGGAAATTAAGGACTTACCTAAGGAACTATGCTTTCCCTTATTTGAAGAAAAATACTACTTCAAGCACAAACCCAGTATGATTTAAATTAAATAAAAATCCTCACATAGGCTACTGGGATAAAATTTCAGGAAGATTAACATGACAACTGCAACAGGAAGTATTGTGACAGACATATCAAGAATAATCAGGAAGATGTGTCTAAAAGAAGTACCACAAAGATCGCCTTCATCAGATCCATCAGGACAATCTCTTCTCCCATTGCAGAGCTTCTCAGGCTGTAGGCAGATGGAGGTATCATTAGCACAAGGGTATTTTGGTGGTCCACACATATAGCCCTCGCAATTATCCTCATCAGACTGATCCTCACAATCAATATCGCCATCACATAGCCACGCTTTGCTAATGCATCTCCCTTGGAGAAAAGAGACAATAAACACAGGAAATCAGACTGGAAGCAAACTTTAAAAAAAAAAAAAAAACTTCAGTAATATCACACAGATTTTTTTTTTGTTATGCTTTTCTATTAATAGTACTTTCCTCTTAGATGAAAAGAAAGAAACCAACTTGTACTTATATTCTGAAGCATCATCCACATCAGTGTTGACAATCTAATTTTCTAAACAACACGAATCCTAATTATTTCTATGCTGAACAGAACCTCATACAGGCAGCACACATCCTTATAATGTGCAATATATACCAAATTATACTAAAATGTTTAATTTTATTTTTTAATTTCTGCTTTTCTTCATCTCTCTTCTTTACCTCTCATCTTTACCTTCTATTCCAACAGCCTACCACATGAGCAATATTTCAATATATGGCTTCCTGTTAGCATGGGTTTGAGAACCACAAATCTTTCTAGGAAGTACACATAATACATTCCCAGATTATGTCAGAAAAAAATGATCAGCTTTTAGACAAAATAACTACAGAAGATGAAATTTATTACATGATTTCAGTTTTATCAAACCAGGTTTCACATAATTTCCTTCATTCCTCAAAAGGGGAAAAAAATAAAAAAATCTCCACTTTTGTGCTGACCATCAATGTTTAGAGAGGCAAGACAGTCTCTTGATTGAGAAAGGGGTTACAATCTTTAAAAAACCATACAGATATTAAATTAGAATCACCCAAGCCAGGGATTTTAATAGGTGGAAAAGTAATTGAGATTGGGAATGCTACCACTTACAGGTGTGCACACATACGTATGCGTTCCTGTCCCAAACTATTCTTCAACTCTCAAGCATAAATTTGTGATTTGCTAGCTACAACCACTAGGGTCTAGCTGTAAATTTTGATAACAACTGGGCTGAACAGAAGTGGCATGTAGTTTATCCTGCAATTAATAAAGAGAAAACATCTCTGATGAGTTACCATCCCTGAAGGTATTTGAAAGCCATGTAGTTACCATCCCTGAAGGTATTTGAAAGCCATGTAGATATGGTACCTGGGGACATGGTTTAGTGGTGGACTTGGCAGAGTTATATTTACCGTTGGACTCTGTGATCTTAACGGTCTTCTCCAACCTACATGATTCTATGATTCTAGTCTATGATTCTAACAGGTAGAACCGTGGGTTAGGAAGCTGATCTTGCACTGTGCTTCTGCCTATAAACTATTTAGGTAGACAAAATCTGGCTGGAACGGGAAGGAAGCTCCACTGACAGCAATGCTAGTGGATAACCAGGGACCAGCTGGTTATGCCCGAGACTGGTAACTGCGAACTCTTGAACAACATGAACTGACACGACTTTCTGCCCCACCTTCCCAGTTTAGCAGCAAACTTCCCAATAGGAAATTGAGACTGATTATGACTTGGGGGAGGAGGAATTGAGTGAGTGTGTGAAATAATCAACTAAGGTAAAACTCTAATCTCCTTGGTTCTTCAATACACCTCAGTGCCAAATTCACTATAGGCTGTCTGTTACGCTGTATCACCCATGACATGGTTCAATATAAAACCAGGTGTCCACAGAACGTAGCAACTGTCCCTAACTGTAACTCTACTGTCTGTCATAATACAGTAGCAGAATTCAATTTCCTTTAAAAGAAATATTTGCTTAAGATCAGCGTAATGCTTTTAATCTGATATTTTAGTCATCTTTTAGTAGGAACGCTGTCGTTGTCCTCACAGAATGACAGTGGGATAAAATACAGTGAAACAAGAACAATGAAAAAATACATTTCTGTAGCATCTCACAAGGGAAAATGTGAGACCACTTTCACTTTTGGTGAAGAAAAAGCAAGAAGTGAAACTTCGGGATCATAGTTCAGTGAGCGTGGTTTCAAACAACACAACATAATTTTACCAGTGCAAAATCACCTGGGAAAATTAAACATGGAGTGGTGTCAATTAGCTTGAAAAGCTTTCACCATTTCCTAGAATGGTCAAAGTCCCAAATACCCTACACTGAAAAGACAGAATTGCACGGCCACAAGAAAACGAAGTTGTATGTATGATATGTATGCAGTTTATCCTTACATGCAATCACAAGTGTTTCAAAAAAGTGTCCATATTATTAGCTTGAAATTATCATTGATTTTAGATATTATTATAGCACAGCAGTAGAATGAAAGCTAATGAAAAACAGCAATGTTAAGCATACTAACTAGATCCCAGAGTAAAATTATGTTGCTTCCAGTAGAGCTCCTAATCTGTTTTTTAATCTTTTATACATATGTTTACAGAGCAAATCACTTTTCCTGCCTCTCTCTTACCTTAACAAAGATGTATTTCATAATAAAAGATTCATCATCCACTACGATAGCTATGACATGTTCTTAAGTAGAATATACTTACAAGGAATTAATCTTTGCCAAAATTCTAAAGAGATGGACTTAATGAAGTATTATGACTGTCTTGAAATCATTAATAAAAATTCACTGAAGTATTTTTGCTTTATTGCTCCTTATTGAAATTCACATTTTTGGTTTCCAGGAACCTCTTCAGTAAAATTCGATCACAAATTAATTGCCTCAATGGATATATCCGATCTTTTCTGTAGCTCTTTTGCGTAACACAGAAGAAATATGTGGAAAGTAGTGAATCAGAAGCTCTGAAGCAACAAGCATGTGGGAAAGCCAGATTCAAATGCTTCTCCAACATTTTTTATTTCCTACAAATACTAGCAAGTACAGCAGAACTAACTTCTTATATACTGTTCAGTCTTTGTTGGGATACCGAGCCCAGGAAGTTTTCTATTTAACCGTAGGAAAATTACTTTGGTGGAGCACTGCATTAGGTTTTCTCTTACAGTTACTTCTTACTGCCTCAAGCTGTAATGCCTTCCTAAGTTTTAGAATGGACTCAATCTCATCCCTGTCAAAACAAAAGAATGTTTCAATCTGACATATTTAACAAAATATTGTGGGGGTCAATGATATTGCTTGCCTTGTAGAACAAACCTGAGACTTAGACTGAACTACTATGTTTCAAGAACACGGTCATTTCTGGTATTTAAAGGCTTTTAGTGGAAAGCAGGGGTTTATAAATGTCTCCTGGCTGAAGAAGAAAAAAAACATCAGGGCCTAAAGAACACAGTTGTTACTGCAGAAAATAATGAGAACATGAACTGAGGATAAAAAACAGTACTGGACCAACTTATATAATTTTTTAGATTACTTTCTGTGGTGGTTTCTTTTTATTTACATTTTTAATGTCAACTGAATCCACCCCTCCAGTCAGAAACACCATCATTCTGAACCATCATTATGTTCAAAAAGGTTATTAAAGTAGTTGTACAAGATGTGCAGCTCTAAAGATCTAAAACTGAGAGAGAAGACAGAGCAGGCAGGGAAGAGGTGGAAGCAACGCTGGAAACCCACCTTACGACTGACATCCTTTCCACCAACCCTTTCAACTCCACCATGCTTCCCATTCTTCTCACTAAAACTCCTCCTCTTCCAAAAGTCCTCTCATGCCATCTCTCTCCACAGCGACCCTTTGCTCCTCATCAGCCCTCACATAATCTGTAGGGCAGCCCTACCAATTTCCTCATCATCTTCTTTCTTGAAAACCCTTCCTTCCCAGCCTTCCTCAGTACCAACTTCTCTCCATTCTTCTCTACTTGTCACATATTTGTATCTTGACCTACACTCCCCATCCAGACAGTAGTTGCTGCTGTCCTTCTCTCTTCCAGTATCACTGCAATGACCACCCCTTGACTTTATTTCCTCTCTATGTACATTCCTTATTTTCCCTTCCAAAGAAATCCTACTTCTTCCCTCATATTTGCTTTTTCCTCTAGTTATATATTAACATGTGAGAAAAAAGAAGTACAAAACAATAACCCACAGGGTAGCATTAAAAATGGTAAGATACAAATTAACTGCTTCTTGAAAGAAACATAAAAAGCAGTAAGTATCACAAATATAGAATACAGTTCAGATCTACTGCTTACTAAATTGAAGTATTGATGGCTCTTTTGCATTCGTCTTCACAGAAGTACTTGATTATGATCATGAGAGTAATTAGATGACTTTTTAAGTGAGATTGCACAGATTATGCTCTGGGTCCAGTATTACTAACTGCAAAGTAGGAAGATGGAATAAAAAGGATAGATTTATGTAGTACATAAAACTGAGTTGAAGCCTGTAATAATTTTTGGAGGACAGAATCAGAATTTAAAACAGGAAGTCAGATCTTTGTCTAATCTCATTTAGTCTAGTCTAACTTAAAAAAAGTCTAATCTAATTGAAAAGCAGAAAATAACAGGCTAGAAGCAGCCCAGCAGTAGTCAGTCTCAATCAGACAGCTATTGTTTCTCATATCCTACTGCTGCACAAACTCTAGTGTATTTTTCATCACACATTACCACAAACAACCGTGTGATGTTCTTGAAAAGATTAGAAATGTCATTCTGAAATCTGTTAACTCAACTGCCCTGCAGCATTTTGGCTGACTTTGGATACAGCAGCTCAAGAACTGCACAGGTCAGACAGTTCCAGTGACACCACCAGAAATACTGAAGGTTTAAAAATATAAAATAAAAATAGAAGGCATGCAATGGAAAAAAAAAAAAAAATAGTTGATTCAGGAAAAAAATTGTGGTTAAGGGGATGTATGACAGAAGTCTTTCAATATTCAAAGGATTTTTATACTGGTGAAAAGATGAAGACAATCAACTAAGGTTGCAGCAAAGATTCAGATGACTTACTAGGAAAAAACGTTCAACTGTTAGAGGCAAATTACTAAAAGGCTATTTATATAAGTCATAGAATACCCTCTATTGGATATTCTTAAATGCACGTCAGAAAAGGGGCTGGATATGATGGGTTCTTGAGACCACCATTACTCTACGCAGAAAAGTCGTGTTTGGCTGAAGGCTGACAAATGCTGTAATTGTAACATGACACGCGTGCCTGCGGCACTGTGACAGATTAACCGGAGCCAACAAAAACTACAGTAAGGAAAGACCCTGCAGCTACTATTTACAGCCATAAACCAAAAAAGAAGTAAGCAAAAGAGTGGGCAGTAACATTTCACTGTTACTGTTCTCACCAACTGTCATTTCCCTCAAAACATACTGGCTCTTTCACCTCCTCCCATACACACGTTCCTACCCAGACCCATCGCATTCTGTTTTAGAAAATCAGATGCCACCACCCAGCAATCTGTAAGGGAAGAATTAGCCAATTTCTCCTCATCTGAACAATTCTTATAGATCTGGAAGCCAGGCAGTATTATTTCTTTAGAATAATCCACAGAGAAAACGGCGTTTATTCTGAAACCCGAGAGGATCATGATAGAAACTATTTCTCATAAAACCGTTATTAGCCATTTGTCCGACCATAGGGAATTCAACTGAAAAGTAGCTAAACAAAAACTTGCTTTTGCATTTTCTGTTCCAACACATTACCAACATGCCTCCTCCAGAACAGCAGTTTTGCTCCTTCCAGGACTGATGGAAGGAAAATACTAGATTTAAAAATAAAAAGATGGAACTATCTCAACTGATTCCTAAAGTGATGTTTCCAAACAACCAACAAGCATGATTGCATTTTCCTCTAAATCAAAGCCATAAACCCTTGAATTTAGCAAATGTTTGATGAAAATATTTTTTTGCTGTATTTATGTGGCAGCTAGGTAAGTCACATTTCATCTTTCATCCTGTAAAATGACTGAGATGATGTTGTCTTCCTTGTGCACGACCGTAAACATACGTAAGTGTGTAATGAAGCAGCATAGACTGAGACCTTTTCACCATGTAAAAGCACGAGGAAGAAGATCAGGAAGAAGTGTATTTCCCATGTCAGGGTTTCTGTCAGCCTATTTCAGGGAACAGACCATTTTATTAAAAGCGAATAATCCATTTTTACTTACTGAAGCTATTTCATTTAACAGCTACTTGTTCTATACATTTTTATGGAAACTGTAAGAACACGCAATGTTTTGTTTAGATGAAAATTCAGCATTCCGTATTTATTTATCTGGACATTATGATTTCTATAAAATCCAAGTAGCAGCAAACCTCCAAGCGTTTTTAAGACATCCTGAAGTAGTTCACATATTAAAAATTAACTGTCACACTGTAGATTTGACTAAAGTATCCGTACACATTCACAAATACTTTCGGACAGAGCTCACGTAACTAGATGGCAACATTTATCATGCTTAGCTATAACACAAGAAGTAGAATGGGTTCTCCTTCACTGTAATAATTATAGTTGCCTAATGACAAAAATACTGCTTCTTAATACATCCTGAATTAAATTTTGCTTTTAAAAGTTATTTTACCCCCAGTATTTCATTGAGCTTTGAAAGAAATTGTAAAAAGATTAATACAATGCTGACATATATTAATTTCTTCCTTAATTGGGGTGTCCCTTAAGAAAACATTCTGTCTAAGCATTATTTTGCAAACTATCCTCACATAAAGACTGTCACATTCCTTTCATGATTTTTAATGAAGCATACCTAGCAAAACATGATTTAAAATGTTCTCCAAAAATGTATTTTTCTTCCAATATCTTGGTTTGAATTTCTAGTGCTGTAGGTCTAAGTCCTTGAGGTCTTCTACCTAATTACTTTATACCACTTTAATCAACTTACTTCTAGGGCCAAAGATGGAAAACAGAAGAAAATACCTGGACTTTGAAGTACTATTAAGTGCACTTAAGTATTTGTTTCGATGTACTATCTTATAGAACAGTTTCAGCTTTAAGTAATGTCAAAATCCATGCATTTTATATTGTAAATCATAAAACAGGTTAGGGGAAGTATATTAACATTCTTTTCCTGTGATGAGTACAGTTAGTAACATCACCTCAGTAGCATTAAACATTGAAAGCAGCATTCAAATAGTAGATATTTGATCAAGTCACACAGACACACACACACACACAAAATAAATAAATGAGAGCAAAACATATCTGCAAGCATGTACCTGTACTCTTGCAGGAGAACTTTGTTTTTTCATCACACAGTCGTATAGTTCCATTACAGCCTTTTTCATCACTACCATCTTCACAGTCTTTTTCTCCATCACAGCGCCACAACTCAGGAACACAGCTCCCATCAGGACTGCACTGAAATTCCTTCCCATTGCATCTTCCAGGAGAGGGAGTTTCTTGGATAAACAAGAATAACATTGAAGTACTTGCTCATGTGAGGTTTTTTCCATGCCAAGTCTACAATGACTTGGAATCTCCCTTCCTAACCAAAGCCAACATCAGACTCCCCAAGTATAACACTCAAAACTCACTATTCCCTTCTAACTCATCACTCCAACACAAGCTTCAGACAAGCTCGCTCTTACCCTGCTCACTGCCTTCACTCCCCACTCCACCACAGGCTCAAGGTAAAGGTACCAATTTTTTTTTTTTTTTTTTTTTTTTTTTTTTTTTTTTTGCACAGCTCTCAGTCAAGAATTATTCTGGAGATGTAAGGAGGGCCAAGGCTGATGAAGTTTTCCTGGCCCTGCCTTTCACCCTCAAGCTACATTCCCTCCTCCTTCTTCATTTTTCTTTTTTTCTTCCCAACAAGGCCCATCTCTAGGTCACACCTCTGTTCTGATACAAGAGTTCTGGCCCCAAAACCTGCCTGGCTTGTACTATTACAGCACGGGCAGACTAGTTGTAGCCTTTCCGAATTCCACACCAATGAACTTCAGTGCAGCTATGGAATCAGTCTTGAATGTTTCAAAACACAGCGTGATTTTAATTCTTCATCACATACTTAATTCTCTAAGTATGATGGCCTGAAAATTTTATCCTTGCCCTCATTTTACCACTGTATTTCTAGTATTTCTTAACATACTAATACAATAACATGTACTTTAAACTAATGATAAACTTATGCATTCCTGTTTGCACCAAAAAGCAGTATTCGAATACATTCTTATACTACTGTCTATAAATATACAGTTTATTTTATTAAAAGATGACTTTTTTTTTTCTAAATAATCTGCATTCTTGCATTTGATTGTAAATAAAGTGAAGATGAGTTGCTGGAAAGTGTGCATCACGTAGCAGAGCAGGACACAGAAGACATATGAACTGACAATAACTGTGTAAAACAGCGCTATTTCAGAGGCAGTGGTGCAAATCCCAACATAACATCGTATTGTATAAAAAAGTAGAGACTTTAAGCTCTGTGATGGACGTGAACGAGGGGAAGTGAGTAGTTTAGTACCAGACCAATTATTTTGATACAGATAAATAATAATAATTTTTGTAAATACATAAATATTAAGGACTTTATTCATGTACAGCATTCTGCTAATTCACCTATTTGCATGAGGTCCATGACTAGATATGGAATATAAACTCATGAAAAAGGAACAATAAAATCCTGTAAAATTACTTTGTTGTGGAAAAATCACTATGAGAAAAAAATGCAAGAAAAATATTCCTTCATTCTTATCTAATTATTCTTTATCCTTTGCTACAAGCATCCTCACCTTCTCTCCCCACCCAAATAAATACAATGTATGGCATTTAAATGGGGCTTTAGTTTGTTAAAACATTTTTATGCTTCAGTGAAACTGTTGAAAAAAAACCCCAAACTTGGATCATACAAAAATGAGAGTGCTACTGCGTAAAAATATCCAGAATATATAAACAGCAACTTAAAAAATGCTGCTTACTGTCTCTTTATCTAGGCAGCATACACCTCTGTAAAAGGACAAACATCACGTTTAGCACAATTCAGTAAAGTAAAACTACAAAACTTATCTCAGTATAATACCCATTCTGTTTTCAAACGCATTCTTCTTCTATGATACACTTCTGTGTTATCATATTACACTTGACATATTTTCCATTCCAACCTTTACCAAGGTTAAAAGCATATTCTCTTTTTCCATTGACTGGAGATGGGTCCTCTGTATTTACAATAAAGTAATCTCTGTGTTTGTACGTATTAAAATGTGGGAAGAATTAAAAAAGCTAACCTTCCTTGCTGCAGTTTGTTTTGGTTTCGTCACTGAAATCTCCGCAGTCATTGTCACCATCGCACGCCCAGTGACTTGGGATGCATCTACCATTACGACACCTGAACTGATCAGCAGAACAGGAGTGAATACAGCCTAGTTCATCGCTTCCATCACCACAGTCGTCATCTGCAAATATTAATTTTATTATTTTAAAAGATAAAAAAAATCTGAATAGAAGTTGTGAGGAGAGAAAGATATTGCCAGAAAGGGACGAGAAAAATAACATGCAGTAAATAAAATGGTATGTTTACTGCCCACAGGCATATAGTAAAATTATTTCTCATGCAAGTAAGTTCTTAACTCTAATGTATCAACAGGACTTGACTCTGTCATTTTGCACAGTCTAACCCCTTACACTTATTCACAGTTATTCAATCACAGATGCCAGCAAGCAAGAGAAGGCTGTAGATTTTCTTCATTTCTTCAGCCATGCTTCCAAACACGGTGGTTTTACTTTATTCTCAGTGATTCATTAAGCTTAGACAGTTGAGTACACACACAAAGAGTTTCATATAAACCAAAATGAAAACCTGATGTCAGCACCTCTTTTCAATAGTATTACGAATGTTATTTCCATGTACTAGAAACAGTGCAAGGTGGAGAAAGGTGGTAGCACATAAATAAGGGTAGAACGTAGTTTCTCATTACTCTAACATTGTAGTCATTACAACAGTCTTAAGGCAATTGCCACAATTTGAATAGAATCCCGTCAGCCTCATAAAATTGTAGTAATATCAAATGCTACAGCGGATGAAGAACCAACCCAATGTTATTACGACTGGCATGACATCACTCCCACATCACAAGCTCTGAGAAAAGATTCAGTTGGACATCTGTCATTCAAATACGTGTTCTTTCAGACAAAAGATATAAGACATTGTAAAGTCTTCCTGGACTTCCCTCTTGAGGCATGCTATTTATTAAATCAAACTTGCCTATAAACAACAAAAAATTAGGTATTTTGGTCACTGGAAATATTTTGTTCTCTAAAAGTAGAAAATACTTAGCTTAGGGTTTGGTTTGTTGTTTTTTTTTAAATAATGAAAGACTACATCACACTTCATTCTACAGAATGTACTATTTGTAGCTATTACTATATCCACTGCACCTTTCCTTATATGAAGCTCCAATATTGCTGCTTTCTAGGTCAGGTCAGTAATTTAAAAATAATGTATTTATTCTCTGGCCGCTTACCAGCTAAACTGGCAATATCAGTCTCAGAAGAAATGAATGAGTATCAAAGCAATATTTATGTAATACCTACCATATTCATTTCAGATATGGAACGCTTGATACTTGCCTGAATCACAGAGCCATTTGCTGCTAATGCATCTTCCATTTTTGCATATAAATTGAGTTAGTGGCTCACACGTTGGGAATTCTGTGAAAGCGTTCAAAAAGAAATAAACACTATTCATTGTATATCATCTTTAGTAATATTCTTCCACCCTCCTATATGCATAAATTACACAAGTGTATTGATTAAAACATTTGCACCTGTGAGATACTTAATCTGGAGAGGAGAAAAAGGTGAGACACCAAAAAGAGAGGATGAAAAGGCTTTTAACTGTAAATACCAGTCCAGACCCTACCCTTCCTCACCATGGATTATTGAAATACATCATTCTGTGTCATGGCATGGGCCTATATTCCCATCAGATCAGGGCTGTCTTTGGCACTGAGCATGCTAATATTTACAACTAATTATAGCTTGATGACTGATACAAACCGTATTTTCAATGTTTATATTTATATTAAAAATAGCTCTCCACTGCAATAACACTGCCAGTAAAAGACAGGAAATGGAAGACTATAAAATGAGAAGGTTGAGTACCAAGCAAAAGAACAATCAAGAAATAAAGTTACGTACACTGACATAATAAAATCCAAAATTAAAATGTGAGTATTAAGAATCGTAAAATCATTTAGGTAGCAAAAGACCTTTAAGATCATCAAGTCCAACTGTTAACCTAGCACTGCCAAGTCCACCACTAAACCATGTCCCTAAGCATCTTGTCTGCCCAGCTTTTAAATATCTCCAGGGATGGGGACTCAACCACTTTGCTGGGCAGCCCCTTCCAGTGCTTGACAATCCTTTTGGGGCAGAATTTTTTCCTAATATCCAACCTAAGCCTGCCTTGGCACAACTTGAGGATGTTTCCTCTCATCCTATCACTTGTTACTACTTTGGGAGCAGAGCCCGACCCCCCCGGCTCCCCCCTCCTCTCCGGCAGTTGTAGGGAGCGATGAGGGCTCCCCTCACCCTCCTCCTCTACCCCCAGCTCCCCCAGCCGCTCCCCAGCAGCCTGGGGCTCCAGACACCTCCCCAGCTCCGCTGCCCTTCTCGGGACCCGCTCCATCCCCTCCAGGTCCTTCGGGGAGGGAGGGGCCCAACCGTGACCCCAGCATTTGAGGGGCGGCCTCCCCAGTGCCCAGGACAGGGGCACGGTCCCTGCCCTGCTCCTGCTGGCCACACCATTCCTGACACAAGCCAGGATGCCGTTGGCCTACAAGCCTGTGCGATTGGGAACACTGCTGGCTCACATTCAGCTGGCTGAGTGATTTACAAACATTTCCAAATATTTCCTCCAAGTATTAAAAGTGGTAGAAAAAGGAGCAATTTCATTCATAAAGTAGAGACTCATCTCTATTACACACAGAGTTTTGTTTTTAAATTTGTCTAATATGTTTCGCATAGAACAACTTGATTTTTTTCAGACTTTTTTCTTCTAAAACCAATGACATAGCTAGGTATGTGCACTGATACCACTCAGTTTGGAAAATACAAGATCTACTTTACAAAACCTGGCAATTCGTAGGAAACATTCTGAAAGTCTAACTTGATTCAAAAGGAATAAGGAGGAGCCTAAATTCTCTATACAGACCATCAAGAGAATAAGACACCTCTGAGGTAACTGATACCTGATGCAAACCAAAGCTGGCAACATGAGCAATCTGTTTGAACTGCTACTTAGAGGCAAGTTTGTCCTTCACTGAAGGATTTCAGTTTGGAAGTTCCTACACAGTACCATCCTAAATGCAACAGAAAGAGATGTCCAAAGTGGTGCATAGCCCTGTCAGCCACATCAAAACTGCCCAAGATTAGAAGAACTCTCCAAATGTATTCCTCATGAGGTTGCTCTGACTACATTGGGTTGTTCTAGTGTTGTTACAACTGAGATGACAAAGCTAAACTTCACAAAGATTCTGAGAGTTAGGCCATGTAATTAGAACTGATGAGTTTTTCTAAACTTTTAAAACATGCCACATAAACTTTTAAAACATGCCACATAAAAGTAAAATTTCCTTAGGACAAGAATTGAAATAGTCATTGCAGTCAATGCATTTCTGACTTGGGTTTGCTGTCTCTTGCCATCTTTGGTATAGAAAATGCTTTAAAGTTAATGCAAAAGCCTTTTTTTTTCTTTTTTTTCTTTTTTTTTTTAAACAGGAGCAGAGGGAAAGTTTTGGCTTAAAAAAAGTCATGCATAAAGCACCAAACCAAACTTGCTGCATCAAATAGTAAAATTTAGAGATCACCAAGGACATCATAAGACTGAAGTGATTACTCTGCTTCAACACAGAAAAGGGTGGGAAGAAAAGTTAACACTGATGACAAAACTGTCAGTTACTCCTAGAAAGGTGTTTGGTTTTTTGTTGTTGTGGTGGTTAAATAAATAAAAATAAAATTAAAAAAAAAGGCTGTTTTTTCTTGGGGGAACACATTACACTAACAACAGAAATTGTTTCCGAGACAAATAAAGGAGATGAGTAACTACAATGGTACTCAGCTACAATATATGGCTTATGTGCTTCAAAAGCAAGGCTGAAAGCAATTTTTCATTTAGCTTTTTAGCTGTTCAATAATTTTCCCACAAATTTAACTCATCTATTAAATGCAATTTTACCCTTTTCCATACATTAATGCCTTCATGACTTTATTTTCTTTATGCTCATCTGTCTACCCAAGACCTGCATAAAGAGACAGAAACTGAAATGAATTGTGATTATGCTCACCCCTACCCCTCCATCTCATGATTCTCAGCCCACCACAGTCTTTCCAAGGATGCTTTGCAGCATCTCCAGTGTTTGCTTCTCATAGCCCCAGCCTGCACCATCATCCTTTCCCTATTTTGCAGCAAAGAGATGCACATTCTGCAGCTGATTCACAGCCATCCCTGTGCTGATTGCTCTGCAGACAAAACAAGAAAGGTGCCTCTTGAGCTCACAGCGAAATCTCTCCACAGTGTGGACACCAATCTCATTTCCATCTGCTATCCAGCGGTCTTGTAAATCTCTGGTTCTATGAGACCTCTTTTACCCTTCTGTTACTGAGCGCAGACGCTATGACAGTGAACTGAGAAACAGATGGAATCAAAAAAACAACTGCAAGTCTTGTTTCCTTTAGGAAAGCAGTAAAGGAGGGTCTCTTTTCAAATTGTCTTCAGAAACGTCATGCTTCTTAGTAAATCTGTTTGTATCTGAAGAAAACGTGTATGCATTATGATACTGACATCCTCCTTCCACTCCTGCTCACCCCAGCTGTACGCCAACATAAGTACGCTTAAGTTCCTGAGTGAACAGGATCCAAAGGTTATTCAGAGCTGAAGACTACTGCAGCTAAAAATCAACGATTCGCAATGGTAATCAAAAGCAAACCACGATTTTTACTTTTGATATCAAAACTTGTAAATACAAGAAGAATTTTAAACTGCTTCATAGAAGAAAATATAGACCAAGAAATAGAATAGCTAAATAAATGCCATTAGTGTGCCCATTAGCCATCACATTGTAAGGCAGAATGGAAAATGAAATATTTTACACATTTGCACAATCACAGTGCTTAAGGATAAATAAACAAGATTCTAAACTATGAAACTTATGCAAAGTATGGCCAAACTGAAAAACAGCAGGTAACATCAATGCTGATTAAATGATCTGCAGAAACATTCCAGATCAGCTGGCAGAATACCATACAAAAAACATGGGAAGAAATTAAAAAGATGCCATTAGCATCTGTATATTGATAAGGTATCTAAGAACACAAGGTACAGCTAGTCAGGTAAACTATTCTAGCACCAAGTGCCATGCTGTACCATTACACAGAACGTTATAATTTCAGAGACCGCAAAATACAGCGAGTCCCCGGGGATTGCCTATTCTACCTCCATACACAACAGAACTTACCTGATTGGAAGCATGGCAATTAGAAGTTTACCTTAATATTCTCATTTTCACTGACATAATGATTTTTATTTTGATTTAGATTTTATCAAATGTTAACTATTTTGAAGTAACTGATCAGACATCAATTACTGTCTATATAAAGTCAGCTTTCTTTTTTTTCTGGTTTATAACACTATTAAAAGAAGAAAGAGGAAGAAAGTAGTAAGAAATAAGACAAGATAAAGCAGGTGAATATTCCAGGAAACATAACAACTATTTATACATAAAAGGCCTGAGAAATCTCGAACACAGTTATAGAAGGACTAATGCAACTAATGGGTATCAGCTGGTTGTCCGCATGAATAAATCAAAATTAAACAAACTGAAGGGATTATGGATGACCAGAATTTACTGACTAGATCCTACATGTTGCCTTCCATAGATTCTCTAGCAATTGAGGCCCTGGAGACTTATGTTTATGGAACACAGGGCATCACGGCGTCAGTCTATGACTTTCATTTACGCATTTACTTTCTATTTTTCTCTCGCTCTCCACTGCAAGTGCTTCATCAGTATTGGGATTTTTGCAGAAAAACTGCTGTCGGTAATAGAACTCCAACACTTCTGCTGAAAAGGTTTACAGCAGTAAGAAGTTTCAAAAAAGAAAAAAAAAAAGCTATTGTTTTATCAACTACGGTGCTTTTATAGTTTGATTTTGATTAAGAAACAATGCATTTTTATAACAGTGAATCAAGTTAGAACATCAGCTATATCTGAGAGAAATACAGGTCGAACCACTAAGTATCCCAACAAATACACTTTAGATGTTCGTTCTTTTGTGCACAACCTGCCACTTCATGTTTACGTGGTTGATGCCACTAAAATAATCAGTCAGCATTCTTTCTTGAAAACTCTTGAAAAGTCATTTCAGAAACATGTCCTATTATGCTGCGACACACTTACTAATTCCTATTAGTAAGTGAAATAATATCAGAAATACTACCTTGTAAACAGGTAACACCCTGGTAAAATATTTTGCCGACAGCTCATTGACCCTTTTGCTCTCAGACTCACAGCAGTTACCTGAGACCTGCCAAACAGAAGAAGGCAGCCACGCTGACTTACAAAAAACCTTAATTGCTTGACAGAAGCTGATTTGAGAGAACACCTCTCTCTGCAATATCTCAGTAAAGCAGCAATCAGCAGAGCTGCTGATACTATCTCGTGGTATAAGTGAGAAAGACTAATTTTTTTTCTGCAAAATACATCAAAATATCCTTCTGTTCCGACTTGAAACAGTCTGATTGTATTGACATCTAGAATAGGCTGAGGGGGCCCATGTGAAGAGGTATGCAACAGAGACAAATATCAATTTTTAAGGGTGACGGTATCTGATAATGGGCTGTAAATTAGAAAAGTGTTGACTGATCTGCGTATTTGGTATTGTAGGTAAAAACTCATTAATAGAAAATACAGCCTTTGCTTTGGGTTTATTTATTAATCAAATAAATCATATTTGCCATTTCAGAATGAATATTATCATTTCATATAAAAACAAAAAGGCTTTTCATATTTTTTCTATCCTTCAGTTCATGTGAAAAGAGATCCTTGTATTTTTAACTTTTTATAGAAGAATTTTACTTTTTTCCCCTATAGAAAATTTACTTACCACAAGATGTCATTTCATCGGTTTCATCACCACAGTCATCCTCCCTGTCACATAGCCATGATGTCGGAATACAGCGTCCGTTCCCACAAGAAAATTGGTCAACCTGACACGTTCTTGCTGTCAAGACAAAACACTCCAAAAATACAAGGGAAATGGACTGAACCTGTTGGGTCTGTTGGTGCATGTCTGTATGTAGAAGCCACAAGCCTGGAGAGCATCTCCTGGCCTGCTGCAGATTTTACCTGATCTGACTAAATATCATTCACCTCCTTTGATTTCAGAGAAAATTGAAGCCATCTGCAGCACTGTGTTCCACCTCTGTTATATAGAATGCTCAGTGGTTTCTTCAATGTATGAGAACATGAAACTTTATATGTAATTATACAAAGCTAGGTAGTAGAAGAGCATTCCATCCCTGGATACATTCAAGACCAGGTTGAATGGGGCTCTGAGCAACCTTATCTAGTTAACAGTGTCCCTGCTCACTGCAGGGGGGGTTGGACTAGATGACCTCTAGGGGTCCCTTCCAACCCAAACCATTCTATGATTCTATGATTAATGTTTGATAACATCAGTGCTAGAAATGGGTAAACAAAAATCAAGGCATAAAGATGACTAACTTAAAATAGGAAGATTAACAAATTGTATTTCATAACATAAACAGGGACCTAGCGAGATTCATGTTTACACAGAAAAATGGTAACATAGCATGTGTGTGATGTGCCTGGCCTCTCTGGCCTTAGAATCTTCGCCTTTGCAAATATGCAACTGTAGTGATCCATTAAAGGGAACGACATATGCCTTCTGAACGACATGTCTTCTGAAGAGATAAAGATCACTAAAAGAAATCGTGCTGTGTAACTATATAAATTACTTTGAAAGCTGATGAACAGTAAAACTTCAATACAAATCTAACATGTAAAAATGACATCAGTTTTAATTTTTTAATTCAAAATGTGAACCCATAACTACAATGCCAACTATAGCGACACAGATTTTTATTTCGCATTTGAGCTTTCAGAGTTCATCTCTATGTGATTTCACACTTCAAAAAAGTGACTGACACATCAGAAACCCCAATAATCAAAAGAATATTTCTTCATTTGCTATTCTCAACTACCCTTTTCCTTTTTCTTGATAGAAAGAGCCCAAAATACAACAGAAGAACAGAAGTTTAAAATATTTCAAAGCAGTATGGGGTTTTTTTTTTGACTCAAGTAGTGTTTGCCACTGCAGGAACAAAACGAAAAACAAGAATACAAAATTCAACCCACAGCCAACTGACAGAGGGATGCAAAATACGGTCTTCAAATCAGACTCTATTCTACAAGTAAACAGTTGAATTTCAAAGGATATCAAGATGTATTACAATCTGCAATAAAACCACAGAGGCTGTACAGACACTATAGGTCTGCATTTATGCTAGAGTGCTTTTAGCCAAGCCACACGAATAACAATCAGAACATATATATGTATAATATATATAGGAAATTTTAAAACAAGGAAAATGAGTTCAGGGAATATATTAATATACAATGGATGCTGTTTGTCACTGCATTTCAGTTTAAAACAGTCATCAGCTTATTGATGCCTGATATTTTGCATATCAGATACTTAATGATTGTTTAGTGTACTCTACTGACAAGCACTAAATACCACTTTCACACAAGCAAAGGACAGATTTGGAACTCCCTGATTTATTGCAGTGGAATAAGTAAGCAATCTTCATCTTGGTATTTCCTTAAAAATCCACTACAAGTTTAGTAACTTAGAAATGAAAACAATTTCAAGCTACCAAAGGGAAGCTGAATAACTAATTATGCTTTTGTCAGCATAAAATAAAATTTACTCGTGACACAGTACTCACCACAGCATCTAACTGACAAAAAAGATTTAGCAGGGACAAGTTTGTACCTAAGCAGTGCTTTGACAGTCAACCCATATGGATAGATTAAGTGCTGAATTGCTTTGGAAAGCACAGTCAAGCATAAGTATTAAGTAAAATATAATTTGTATTCCAGCCTTAGTGGCATCAAAATCTGCATTAATTTAAAATGGCAATAATCAGATTGCTAGTAGCAGACTGGTTCAACTGAGTTCAGATCAGTCTTGAACTGTTTATGGAACTGAGAAAACTTGTATGCACAGCCAGGTAAAATCTTTACCTGCACAGGTTTTATTGGATTCATCTTCATTATTACCACAATCATTAGCTCCATCACAAAGCCACCTCTTGGGAATGCAGCGATTATTTTGGCACTTAAACTGATCCTCAGGACAACTATGATTGACTGGGGAGAGAGAAAAAAAAAAAAACAAAACACCAAAAACACAACCAGTTTGTTTCCTAAGAAAATTATCAGAGAAAAACAGTTGAAAATAAAATATTAAATGGTATTCTCTGGTCATGCAGTTAGTATGGTTACCCAGAATACATAATCACCAGGACATAAAAATTGTTCAGCAAACCAATTAAAAAACATTGCAGTATTTTCATCACAAATTAAAGAATACCTAGTAAAGAGTCTCCTATCATACCAATGTCAACATGGAGATCCTCTTCTATTAACTACTAGGTGATAAGAGGCAGCAGCATTTTACAATATTGCTATTTCCTTAAAGAAAAGTGACCTCGATCACATTTTATCGATGTGATGAGGTTTGCAAACTGAGGTGCCTATAAACAAAAGACAACACCAAAGGGAACAGATACAAGTTGCTAAGTGCATATCCAAAATATTATACCACAGCGAGCAGGGATTTGGGCAGGTTACAAAATGCTTCTAAAATTATGCACATTACTGTCAGTGGCCACGTATAGACCTGCTGTTTACTTACCATGAAATTGTAGGTGTCAAAAAGTGAAATATGCAACACAGTGTAAAACTGACAAAAAAATGTAGTCTTCAAGAGTGAACAAGGTATCTCTCAAACATTTTTTTGCTAGCTGCCAAATATCGTGGGAAGGATGAAGACTGAAAGCACAGAAATGATGTAAATACCATTGGCCTGCTCTTGCAGCTGCAGTTAGTTTAGATGATCTGCTGCTTTCATGCTAATAACAAGATCTATTTTTAGCAGATCTTCCTAATCTTGAACAACACAAGAGCAGTAAACTATCCACAGTTTCAAAAGCTGGGTTAAAAACAATCTCAAGCTCTTTTCCACCTACTCAGCCATCCACAGTCTCTTTTTTCAAGTTTAACATGTATCTGGAAACAAACGGTATTTAAAATGAAAGGCCGTCTTGCAGGCTTATCCTTGACATTTCAGTAGCTTTTATCCTTGACCTTTCTACCTATTCTTCCTCTTGAAAACAACACAGAGCGAGTGTGATACCAATAGCACGTGAACCCTTCGTGCGTGTTTTGTGTGGAGGGTGCAAGAACACTGGAAGTAAAGATTAATTAATAACCTGAGCAGGAAGGTATTCCAAGTCTCATAACACTTACGCACCAACCTAGTTTGCAATGTGACTGGAGAACAGAACTGTTACCATCCATGTAATAAAATTAAAAATTGAAGACTTTCTTTTAAAATCTGACCTCAATACTAGACACAGATTATTTTTTTTAATGGTATTTAAGGTTTTGCTCGTATATATATTTACTAACATGTGTGTGTAATCTATTCAGAACTGCATATATTTCAGACTAACTCAAAAAGAACTATTGAAGTTACTATAGCAACTGCTGAAAAGAGATTACTGTTATCATACTGGCCACTTAAACTACGTATCACATACAGATTTGGGACCAGATTATGATTTCATTTATATCTGTATAAATCCTCTGAGAATTACAAGCTTTGATCAATGAATCGGTCTAAATTGCATTAATTCAAATAAGAATCAAGTCAAAGATTTTCTTTCTTGCTGTCTTTATTAGTTGAGCTCATTATTTAAGTGTAAGAATCCCTGGTATTAAAATAAAATGTTAGTAAGCACTACAGTTCAGAACTAGAGAAGTGTTTTGAAAGGAATTAGGGCTGAAATCAGTAATGAATACTACATGGAGCTATCAAAATACATAAATGCAGGGGAAAACCCAAACCAGCTATGTAAGAGCCATACAGAAAAAGACCTAGGCATTACGGAGGATCACAAGCTCAGTATGTATCAGCGACATCAGGCCAGGGCGAAGCAGATAGGGTTTACCCACGGATGTAAAAACAGGATTATCACTCCTCACCAACACAGTCTCTCAGCCTAACCAGCTCCACAAAGGCCTGAGCAGAAGTACATACATCCAGTTGTGGACATCCAACTCCAAGGATCACTTGACAAAGTTAACAAAAGACCAATAAAATCTAAACAAAAACCCCATAGACTACTGGAAAAAAAAAAAAAAATAGAACTGTTTTGCCTCTAACAGATAAGAATGAGAGGCGATGATAAGAGTTTTTAGACACACAGAACAATGCTACACAGTAGAAGAGTGCATCAGTTCTTCATGTCTACAACTGATAGGAAAAAAAAAAATGTATTTTCATTTCAATAAAGGAGATTCGGTTTAGAGAAATGATCTTATGATAGAAATAGCATTGCAACAAACCTAGTAAGGAAAGGAATTTCACTGCTGTAACTCTAATTTTATAGCAGGCTACCTAAGTATCTTCCAGGAATGACACAGATATGTAACTGGTATGTTTCCTATTATTTTTCATTACAACATCGGAACTCCTCTGCAGCAAAAAAACCCAGCTCTACTACAACTGTATTTTTTAAGACAAAATACTTCTCATTTAAAACTGGAAGTGTGTGTGGTGCTTGGGGTTTTTTGTTTGCTTTTGGTTTGTTTTGGGTTCTTTGGGGTGTTGTATTTTTGTTCAGATAAAATTTCATGCTTTTCACTTTGTGCCCATTACCTCTTGTCCTGCTAGTGGGCACTACTAAGAAGAGCCTGGCTCCCTGTTCTTCATTCCATCTTCTCCCACCAGGTATTTATACACATTGGTAAGATCCCTCCAGAGCCTCCCCTTCCCTGCAGACTGAACAATCTCAGTGCTCCCAACTTCTGGGACAGATGTGTCTGTCCTTTAATCATCTTAGTGGTCCGTTCCTGGACTCGCTGCAGTAAGTCCCTGCCTTTTTTGTACCAGGGAGCTCAGAACTGGACAGAGTCCTCCAGATATGACTTCACCAGGGCTCAGTAGAGTAGAAGGATAGCATCCCTCAACCTGCCGGTGATACTTTTCCCAAAGCAGCCCAGGATGCTCCTCGCCTTCTTTGCCGTGAGGTGCATTGCTGGCTAATGGCCATCTTGCTGCTCACCAGGATGCCTTGTCTGCAAAGCTGCTTTCTAGTTGGGTGGCCCCCAGCATATACTGATGCCTGGATTTACTCCTCCCCAGATGCATTTGTCCTTGCTGAATTTCACCATATTCTTCTCTGTCCAATTTTCCACCCTGTCAAGGTTCCTCTGAATGGCAGCGTGCTCATCTGTGGCCACTCTTCCCAGCTTCATATCATCTGCGAATCTGCTGAGTGTGCACTCTGTCCACATCATTAATGAAGACCTTTACTGGCCCCAGCATTAAGCCCTTAGCTCCAGCTGTGACCTTGTGCCTTAGTGACTTAGCTCCAGCTGGACCTTGTGCCACTGACCACAAGCCCCAGGGCCGGGCCATTCCAGCAGTTTCCAATCCATCTCACTGTCCACTTACCCAACCCATCCTTTGTCAGCTTTTTTATGAGGAAGTTATGGCAGACAGCGCCAAACGCCTTACTAAAGTTGAGGCAAACAATATCCGCTGCTTTTCCCTTATCCGCCAAGCGAGTCACATCAGTGCAGAAGGCCATGAGGCTGGCTGAGCAGGACTTGCCCTTCATAAATCCACGCTGAATACTCCCAACCACTTTCTTGTCCTTCATGTCTTCAGAAATGGTTTCCAGGACTAATTGATCCATCACTTTCCTAGAGGTTGAGGCGAGGCAGGCCCTGCTTTGTGAAGGTTGGACTAAAGATTCTGAGACCCTTTCCAACCTGAATTTTCCTGTGACCCATATAAGAGAGTGCAATAGCGGGAAACAAAGCTAAAAGTACCAACCTTTAAAGAATCAGAAATGACAATGAGATGACTGCTCTTGTACTATGCTACAAAACGAGTACATGACTGTCATTTGAAAGGACTATTATTGTTATATGCAGGAAAAGAAGAAAATGAAGTATTTACATGAATAACTTAAGGATTATCATTTTTGTTTGACTCCCCTCAGACTTCTGTTACTTTGCTTCCATTTTTTAAAATAAAATATGAATTGTGGGTTAAAATGTAAAAGCATACATACAGCAAATTTCAGAATGCTCATCGCTGCCATCCAGACAGTCATCATCCCCATCACAGCGCCAGCGATCCTGGATACAGCGCTTATTCTTACACTGAAACTGTTCGGCTTTGCACAGCTGAGGTAGCACTTCTCCATGTTTAACTAGGAAAAATATCCAAGAAGCTCATCTATTTTATCAGCTTGATACACACAGAATGCAATACTACCCCTACATAAACAAATTCTTGTTACCACTCTTCAGAACATTTTTTAGTAAACTTTGAATATTTGAGGTAATTCCACCTGAAGCCTGTAGCAGCATGCATATCTGAGTGTATGGTTGAGGTAATACATTTTTAATAAATGGAAGAACTCAGAACAGAATGGCACTCAAACTGTTTTTTAAATTGGTGCTTAGATGATAGCGTAAAAATATCAGTTTAAAATATTGCAATGCCTCATCAACAATGAAAAGAAAATATTCTTACAGACACAGATCAAATTCTGGTGCATGTTAAAGGGCTAGAAAATGATTACTGAAGAGCTGAATTCTTGTAACCAAACAACAACTCAAACACCTGCATTATGCACTGGTACAGACTTGGCAAAGAAAAAAGGATAAAATTCTACTGAGGTAGAATTAAGTAGTAAGCTACAAGCTTATTGATAAATCCAGACAGATACATTTCTCGACATAAGGTTCAGAATGCTTAATGTGTAAATACCACACATCACTCTCTGACCCTGTGAGGAACATCAAAGTCCTGGGAAAGAGCTGGGCAATGAAGTGTGCTGGGGAAAAAGCAGGAAACCTGCTTCATTCAGATCTGAAAGTGTCTAACCTCTCTTCCTAATGCTTACATTCCATCTTACCAGTGAGAAGTCCACCTTCCAGTATTTTCTGCTAAAAAGAAAAATAGTTTTCTTTAGCAACAGTGATGGCTCTGCCAGCCATGCATTTGGGTCAAATTCAAGGTAATTGCAAGCTCAATAATGTTCATCATGTTATGAAATAATCCTTATGCTTTACTCATCTCTACCAGGCTTATTGCTGGAGACCTATGGAAAGTTTTACATAGTACACTTCAAGAAATAGATCAGTGAGATTAAAGAAAAAATAGTTTTGAGTAAATTACATTTAAAAACCTGTATTATCTGATGAATTATTATTATTAATTGAAAATCCCACATTTTATTAACACTTTTTTTTTTTAAATTGGCATTTCAATGAAGATATCTAAGGAAGGGATGCAAGAAAAAGGCAGCAAAATTTGCGTAGTCTGTATCAGTACCTATTATATACAAATATACCTGCTTGACATGTTTTATGAAGTTTCTATGCATGAACATTTTCCATGCCAGAGTTCAATTTAAGATACTTAGTCCATATAATAATCTGAAGCTAGTTTATATAGATTTAATCACAACATTTTCTGGCATTTCTGATTTTCTTTAAAAGAGACTACTGACATATTTGAGTGCTTTATCATATCAGGCATTCTGAAATATTTTCCAATGTATTTTATCCTCAAATACTGTGTACTTAATATTTTGTCTTTTTTTAAAAAAAAATCTTTATTATATTTCATAACCTCTGTCCAATTAGAATCTTTATTCAAGGAACATTTCTTTGTCTAATAGAACCTCAAAAAGCCTCTAGGAGACTGCACTTTCTTGTTTTATTTTCAGATTTGACCTGAACCCTTAGCAGAAGTATCAACTTGGGTATTCTTTAAAAATCTTACTCATGCAGGTTGTACTGTTTTCCTCCAAAAGCTGATTATCAGCACAGGCACAAACTCTGCCTCCAGGAATGGCTAAACAAAGAGTGCTGCAGCCTCCGTTGTTAACGCGACACGCATTATCACCTGTGAAAATAAAAAAAAGCAACATTAAAACTAAACAGCCATGCTAGAATGAAAAGCTTTTTTTTTTTTTTTTGGAATGTAAGCATGTGAAGAATTTTTTTACAATTATTTTCCTCTCATTTTAGGGACACGTCATTGTCATAGTTTGGTTACTACAAGTTATGATTTTTAAACAATTTAAGTTACAGGTTGCAATAACATGTAAGAATAATAAAAAACCCAACCCAAACCGAAACAACTACACCATCAGCTCACAACATTCTATCTCACTTTTTTATGAGGGTAACAAATATTTAATAAGACACGGCTACATGCACGTAGTAGTTTTAGGGAAGTAAATGTTCTGAAGTATGTTGACGTGCACATGTTAAAACAATGTGACTACAAATGCAGACTAAGAAAAAAGAGCAAGGAAACAGAACTTAAAAGTATAATGAGATCTATGGCAGACAGAAGACAAGGCAGGTATTTCACCACTCTTTTCTGAACACCTCTGCTATTTCTCTGCCTTCTTTTTCCGTGTTATTGTTTCTTCCCGAAAGCTGTATGCTGTTCACATGAAGCTACTGACAGCTGTCAGGTGTTTTAATCATCTACAAAGGACTGCTGCATCTTCACTACCTCATTTCTTAGGCGAGCAGACTTAAAACCAAAGCCCACTGAAGCAGATATTAGAGTTTCTGTTTGTGTCACATTGGTCACAACCTAATTGCTTAGATACGCATTGCTGAGGACAGTCAACTTCTCATGATCAAAGCTCACTTAATTTCAAGTGTTGGTGATAACTGACTGTGATCAGACAAGCTATAAAACTTCACGTCTGCTGAAACTTTAAATTAAAACTACTTTTTTTCATCTTTCTGGCTTAGTAAAAAGCAGGTGTTTCTTCCTCTGCATCTCCTTTTTAGGTGTACAAAACGTTCATCAGCTTCCTGGGTTCAAACAGACTCCACACAATTCCCTCTCCTCAAAGCACTACCACTTCCCTTTTCATAGAAAATATCATATTAAGTTCTCATAGAAGTAGCTATGAATACGCATATTAAACTATCCTGTCAGAGCCATACCTGCATGTGCAGGAAACATTTTCAAATTATGAAACGAACACCAGATAGAAGAAAAAAAAAAAAAAATCAAAAATTTTCAAGTTTTAAGATATACCTCAATACACCTTACAACACTGTCCTTGACCATTTCATAATAATCTATTCCCAGACTTTTTTCTGACCCACCATACATCACCTCTAGGAAGCAAATGTGTTTTGCAGTCCATTAAAACCCCACTGAACTTTCAAATAAATTTGTAAAATAATTAATACAGAATGCAGTGGGAAGCCGCTGTGGACTTGTACTTACATCAGGCAGGGTGTAAGGGAGATGGCAAGAACATAGCTGTATAAACAGGGAAAACTGGAAATCTCTGAAGGGGAGGGCTGGATCACAATTTTAGATCGAGAAGTTCCAACTTAGACTGGGCACTTAAAGTACTTTGTTGGATTTTAACTTCGTGTTTTAGACTATGACCTAAAACACTGTACTGAAATCGACTCCTTTATTATGTCTGTGCTTACCAAACCCCAAATAATATGAACAAAACATCAAAAGAGTACAAGGTTTAGATCCAGATACATCCTTGAAAACTCAGATACAACACCACTTCAGGAAAAGCAGTCTTGAAACTCTCTACATCTTTACAGGGCCACCCATTATTCAAATCAAAGGATGTCAGTACCGCAAAGATATAAGCAGATATCAGAAGCTGCCAAAACAAACCACAATGCAATCTTCAAAAGGGAATCCAAAAATTATAGAGCACAAGTCAAGGAGATTTGCCATTATTTAATTAGAGAACATACATGAGTTTGTCAGATCACTAAAAAAAGGATAAATCTGTAGAATAAAAGGCTATTTAAGATAAATATAGAAAACACTTTGAAAACCCATGATGATTCTGAAGCCCAATGTAGGCCTAAAATAAATAAAATCAAAATTAAAACACTAGATCAAAGTCAAGCAGTCCATCTTGAAGATGAAAGGTTCTTGCTTAACCTTATAATTGGGATGACAACCTGCAGTAGAGTAGGTTACTTGCTAAGTGATAAAAGAAAGGATGAAAACAAGGAAAATACCAAGTACCAAGAGTTAAAGCAACAATATCCTGGAAAAATAGGATTTATAAAGTGAGCTTTAAGGAAGTCTTGAACCTGAAGGTCAATGAGACCTTCAGTCCCATCAGCCTTGCTGAAGAGACTCCTAGGCTAAAAGTCTCCCGAAATGCAGTACAAAAAGGTTAAGTCTCTGTTCTGAATAAACTGTGGAACTCATTTAGCTACCAAGTATTTAATGAAATGAAATTTCCTCAACTGCTATTCACAACAGCTGTTCTATATGGGTGTTCTTAAAACATTCCCAAGATTTTAAAACCATTTACAAATCATAGTTTTCATATTTTTGCTAGCTTTTAAAACAGCTGTCCCTGCCACTTGCATATGATTAAATTAGGCTGATTCCATTTTAACTTGCTAAAAATTGGAGGCCAGAGCTAAACCAACAAGGTAGTGGCATCTCAGTCATCGTTCTCAGAAGAAAAACTATAGATTCTATGAAACTATATGCATTTGTTTAATCATCTCATGCAAAAGATCCTGTGAAGCATTTATCGCTGCTTAGAAATTATTGTACTTCTATGCTTTCATGAGTATTTATTCACGTTGTACCTTCCCATAAACCTAACCTCAGGTACAGCTAAAGTTGTGTAAAGCCTACTTGTAGGACCATACTATGCATATGAAGAGCAGGAAGCCTGTGGCTCAAGCAGCTCTTCTTTGCAGTCTGAGGAGTTAAAATATCAAGTGATTTCGAAAGAGGCTACTTTAACATGTACTTACACAAGAATTACTTACATATGAATAGCAATCTCCCCTTTCATAGCAGTGGAAATACCTGCAGGCCCTGGCAGTTTCATATGCTGACTGTAAATCCAGCTCCTATGATTGCTACGCTTCCTGCCACCTCCCCATTTTTTAAGGGATTCCTGACGCATACAGACCCAAAGACTATGCCTAAGAAAGTAAGGTGAAATCTAAGTTCTGAAATCAAGAAAACAAAAAAAAAAAGGTTCCTCTGTAAGAGGATCATACCTCATGAGATACAGAGACAGTGAAAAGCACCTCTTCTTAAGGAGGTACCAAAGGAAGCTCAAAGTTGCTACCCATAGTACTAAGCAAAGCAGGATTGGTGTAGCCAAGTATCCCGTAAAAAGGTCTCCTAGTAAAAATGCCAGTCTTAATTCAACTATGTCAAAATGAATTGGCATGGTTTCTGTTGTGCAGACAGTGACAGTAATGACAGCATCAAAACAGTAACCTCCAAATATCAGAGCCAAATGTTTCTAAGGTACAAGCTATATAAGCTTGTATATTTATATAAGCTATAAAATATAACTCATACTACAAAATGAACTACTATGGTTTTCTCTGTACATAATTCAGCCTTTCATCTTGCTCTTTTAGAAGAAACACACACACACACACAAATTCGCTTCACTTTCTTTAAAAGAAACGCTTGTACAAGATCTACATCACCGAGCATGACAAAAGAGAAGATCCTAAAGGCTGCAGTTAGCTTGCAAAATTCCAATTGCAAATTCAAACAAAGAATGCAATAGTGAGCCAAATTCTCTTTCCTAAGATTTAAACTCATTCAGCTAAAAATGTCTAAGAGAAAAGATTTCAGTCTTCTGTCTCTGGTGTTAGCTTATAAGGAAGGTAATAGCACTTGCATTAATTTTTAAATTTCCTTTTTTTTCTAAAAATAAAGGAACTTTCTAAGAACCGAATAAAGCAGTAGAAGTACTGAGTATTTAAAGCAATCACCACATCCTCTCTTAGCAGACACAGTTCAAAGTATTCTGAAATTTGTCCAACTTGACGGTAGATTTGGAGGCAGATTTTCCTTAAAAAAACCCCAAACACACAATATTTTTACATGAAATTGGAAGTGAGAGTCCCTGAAAAACATCTGTGATGAGAGACACGCTGTTACAATGCCCTTGAGATACTACAGTTTGGTTTAGGCATTGAAAATTTAGATGTTCCAATATCAGAAAGGAGAAACTTTCAGCATTGCCTCCATACTCATAAAACTGATTACAAGTTGGCTGTCCAGACCTCAGTGCTCCATAATCAGGTATTAATCTCCATGGGTTTCCCTAAGAAAGCATATCTGGACATATAAAAATATTATCCAGCAGGAAAAGGAGAAGTTCATATTAACCTGCTGTAAAGAAAATCACTAAGATTTTCAGTAGGGCCTCAGACGGTTGAGACATTGTTAAAAGTGGTTTTCCCAAGGAAAAACAAATTGGAAGATGCATGTTTAGATAGAGATGTCGTCTTTGTCTTCTCCAAAGAATATTAACTACATATTTAAGTCTTCAAATATAGCAAATTCTGAAATGAAACATAAAACTAAACAACCCTATGTATGCAGATATTACATGCCAAGTATTTTGGCTCTACACATATTCACATCCCATTTTATACTTTAGCGCTGGTTTGAAAACTAAATTGTTTCTTCCCTTTGTAAATCACAGTTGGTTTTTTGCTGGATGGGAAAAAAAATGGTAAGACTAGACAGAAGAAAAAACAATAAAAAAAATATTTAGTATGTATGGCATATAAAACCACTGAAATAAACCTATGCAATTTATTTAGCTAGTATATATAGGGAAAATATTCACTATACTTTCATATATACATGTATCATTTTTGTATACACACAGAGACATGTATATGTACACATTCTGCATACAGATATATGCCTATAACAAATATAAAGGCTAAATATTTTCTCTCTATCTATGATTGTAAAGCATTTTTTCTAATGTTTCAATTCTATCTACTCTGTACTGGTTTTATCAATTGCTCTTTGTGCCATTCATTGACTACAAGCAATAGAGATATGGTCAAATCTTCCAAGCGCTAAGAATAGACGTGAACAAGACACTGTACCCACATCCAGATCTGAAGGTGATGATGCCGTGAAAATAAAATTGGGCTTTATGCACAGGGAGAAACTACTCATAATAGGTCCTGTAAGCTTTAAAATAGAAACCACACACCCTCTGCCCCAACCCTCAGGAAAAAAAAAAAAAAAAAAAAAAAAAGAATCACTGTTTTAACAAGTGCATTTTAATGCTCTATCTGTACTGAGTAGCATTTGGATAAATGGTGAAATTTACATTTTGTTATTTTCTGGTTCATGTACAGAATCAAATGTAGCACGACTGCCAACACCTTGGTGTCTCTGATTTGCTAAAGGAACTGTTGAACTGGAAGTGTTCTACATGTCAAAAATAATTATCCATAGGGATTCATGAGATCTATAGACATCAATATTTAATATGGTCATCTTTTAAACAGTATTTTATTTATACTAATTCCTGATGTTCAGTTTTATGTTTGGTAGCAGACATTAACTAGAAATGTTGTCATTAAAGAGAGCATATATTTAACAACTCATCTGACCACCATATGCAGTAAATGGATTCCAAAGTTTTCTTCAGGAAAATAAATTTGTAAATTTACCTGTATAGTAGCAACTGCATTTTCTGAACTCTATCCATGCAAACCTATGGTCTGTATCTCATTTCTCTACTGATATAAGTTAACAACAAGTACAGATTTTCCACTACTCTCAAAGGCCACTTACTCAGATTCTGCGTAACCGCACCAGGTACTTTCAGGAGATTAAGTCATGTGGTGCTGGTGTAGACCAAGATGGGGAGGAAAATTATAAAAAGAAAAAGACAGACAGGATCTATGATCTTATTTAAGTAAAGGTAAACACAGTAGTGTATTTTACGTCTATGAGCCGATGTGTATATATTAGCTATTCTATTTTATACTTTCACAGTATCTCTTTGACACACAAGAAAGATGGCAATAAAGGCAGTGTAAATAGAAGAAATTCAGACACTTTTAATACTGCAATTCACTTTTTAGTAAGTATGAGGTGATCACTTTCAACATCAATGGATTGAAATGCTGGAAAGCATCTTGCTCATGCCATGAGTCAGATTTTTTTTTTTCCTATTGTTCATTAGTCACCTCAAAATACTAGGAGACTGTAAGGGAAAATATCCTTTTATAACAGACCTTTGGAGAAATCATATGCTATAAATACCTTGCTGTTTACGTGGATCATAAATCTGGAGCCCAAACAAAGGTGGCCTCTCACTTCTTAAAAGTGTCACATTCTTTGTAACCAGATCCAACTGGAAAATTGACCCATTCATATAATCTGTCCAGTAAATATAATTTCCATGATGCGATAGTCCAAAAGGATGATTCAAATCTTTTCCACTGTAGACTACCTGCAATAAATTAGTGGTAGGTGAGCATTAGCAGGGTTAAAATAATTATTAATTTTTTCTTAGCATACACTGCAGAGAACATGAGACGGCAAATAGGAAAACTGAGATAAGCACTGTACCCAAACATAATGACTTGATGTAATAAAATCAAATAAGGAGTGTAAAGCTGTTCTATGTGCCAGCATCAATATCTAACTTCAAAACTTTGTAAAAATTCATTTTAAGTGTCCCCTGCCAGATAAGGCCAAGGAACGTAGGTAACCAGGCAATCATTATGTTCAGTAAATATCTACCTTCCTTCCTAGCAAGGTTGTTTAAATAACTTTGAGTATCTGTCAAGTATATCAAATATCTGCTGCTTTTAAAGCAAAGAACAGTGTGTATGAGTTGCTTATTTTGGCTGAAGTGTGAAGTAAGTGCAGAGATTGCATTATTCATTTCTGTGAACTTCCTCTCTAGTTTGGGTTGTGGTAACTTAAAAAAGAACCAACCAACCAAAAAAATATGCCACAGTTTGTTCCCAAAGTAAGACAAACTTTCTTCCATGCACCTTCTACTTCTGGTTTATTAACTCACACATAAAGCTGCAAATTACACCCCAAATGTTGTCTTTTATTTTATTGGCTGCAAAAATGTTTTAAAACAGCATCACTCGCTATAGCTCCGGTCTCAGGACTCCATCACAAGAACTGCAGATAGCACTCCATAAGAGCTGTCTGATAAAGAGGAACAGTTTAAAACCACTTGCAATCCCTACCGAATGAAAACAAAACTTTAAGAAGAGTCTAAACTTACCATCAAGTAAATTACAGTAATTACGATGATTTACTTTAAAAAGACATAGATAATTGCAGAACTTGCAGTTACTGCAGAATCGCTTAGGGACATGGTTTTGTGGTGGGATGGCCCGGTTAGGTTAATGGTTGGACTTGGTGATCTTAAAGGGCTTTTCCAACCTAAAGGATTCTATGATTCTATGATTCTAACTCTGAATCATCTGCTTTTGGGAGCCCTGCATTTATAATTAATCATTACAGCTGCAGTTTGGAATGACAAAGTTCCTGCCACTGGGGTCCTTGCTGGAACTAATGCCCAACAGCGTATTTCTACCTTGGCTCTAGAAAGAGGGAAGCAGTTCATCAGATGTCCTACCTTGTTTAGAGACAGAAACCCAAGAGAAAAAGGAGTTAAAGCCCACTAAAATACAACCACTATGAGGTGACAAACATATCCCCTTTTGCCCTTCAAATATTCTCTTTGGGCTTGGAATTCTTTTGGGCAGAACTCCTCACCTCAGTTAACTGCATTTGATCAACATTAACCCATCAGTGAACCATCCACCACCTATAGGGGGAATTTTAGTAGGACTTTCCCTCCCCTTAAAATCTTCACTATACTGACACTTACAGAAGTAAAGATGGATTGACCCAGTTATATTTTGACCAAAACATCCCAGGGGGAATTTTAGTAGGACTTTCCCACCCCTTAAAATCTTCACTATACGGACACAGAAGTAAAGATCATAGAATCATAGAATGTTTAGGGTTGGAAGGGACCACTAGTGGTCATCTAGTCCAACCCCCCTGCAGTGAGCAGGGACATCTTTAACCAGATCAGGTTGCTCAGAGCCCCATCCAACCTGGCCTTGAATGTTCCCAGGGATGGGGCCTCCACTACCTCTCTGGGCACCCTGTTCCCGTGTTTTACCACC